ATGTAACTATTTGAGCTAATTTAAAAATAATTTGAAGAATTTTACGTCTGACAGAGTATTTCTCCTATGTAGGTGGGAAATACAATGCAGTATTACATGTACCCCCTTCCCCTTTCTTATATCCCATACTTTCATAATAGGTGTACAAATAAATTATCATTTTTTAACCTCACGTTTTATATAAATGCTTTACAATTCCTACATATTGAGAAAAGTACTTTTCATGAGTGTTACATTGTATACAATGACGGAATCTCACCAAGTAGTTCTAACGCTTGCTGCTTATAGTTAAGATGCATTCATTGACTTGTAAAATATATACATGTAGGTACGGTTTTCGAATGTATAACGTACCATGGTATCAGATATAAGAAAACAGGACTAAGGAATGATAAACATTGATTTTCCCATGAACCAGCCTTTACGTTATTATCATATTTGCTTTTAGTGTAGATAGATATTTGTTTCTTTATATTCTTTTAGTGTGGATAGGTTTTAAAAACGTTTTCTGCTATAAAAAAATTTCGGCATCATAATTATCTACCAGAATCTGTTACGCACATTACAAGTTTATGTCTTTTTAATAAAACATGCAACAAAATGTCACTGAATGCAAATAAAAAAGTCAGAATATAACACATGATCATGTATCCACTTTTGAATTGATGCATGTACATGTATTATAAATAGTGTTGTCAGCGAATACCCGGTTAACTGGTTAATCCTCGAACGATGCAAGTATCGGTTAGTAAAACTGCTACTCGGTTACTCGGATATATTGCATTTTATTAAATAAATCAGTAGGATTAATGTTTTTTTTTTGTTTATAATGTTTTCATTTTATTTACCATTTTTTAACCTTAGTTTCAATTTAGCGATCGATTTGTTTTGATTAGTATTTCACAGTTTATCCAACTGATGGCTTTGATTGCCAAGGGGAATTAAAGTTTTGAAGGCTTGAATTAATTATGATTACCTCACATAAGTCAGTGCTAGTCCGCAGTACATGATTTAAGAAGACACAGGCATCGAAGCCATGGAAATATTTTTAAAAGAAAGCCTGAATTAAAATCCAGCAGGTGTAAATTATGTGAAATCGAATTAATCTTATGGGACAATATGCTTAACCACCTCAGACTGAAGTTTAACTGTGAAAGCAGCGATATATAATTAAAGCGCAAAAACAGCCAACGATTACGGGGTGTTAATTCGAGAACAAATTTATTTAGAAGATATTGTGTGTTTGCACATGTAATTATAAATACAGTCCATATGCAGTGGAATTGTGTTTTGTATATAGCGCTATACAAATGATAAGATAGATATAAAAATTCATATGGCATTATGTATAATAGCTGAGCATATATACCGCAAACAAGAACGTTTTGATGTCTAAAGAAAAACCATCCGAGTAATCGGTTACTCGATCGGAAAAGTAAGCGAGTAACCGGTTACTAAAATTAGTCCGATTTGGCAACACTAATTATAAATTCTGCAGCTTAAAATAAAACAAACACAAATTCTTAATTCCTCAAGGTCAGAAACTATACATTACAGCTCAGGCAAAGTATTTTCTATTTAAATAACAAAGGCCTATCTTATTGAGCATATATATACAGGTAATAATAACAGATGACATCTCATAATGCAAGATGATGCAATTTACAAATACATGGAAAACCTACATTTGCTGATTTCGCAGGTAGGTTAAAGGCTTCCCGTAGAATATGACAGTGCAATCTGTGCCTTCACATCTCTGAACTACCAAAATATGACGTCATAATGGAAAATGACGTCAGGTCACTGCAAACTTGAGGTGTTATGACGGGGAGAGTGTCATGAACTTTACACTTTATTTCAAACTGCATGTAAAATGCTAGATAGCTATTGCAAAATTCATGGGTCGTTAAAGATTTTTTAAGTCTTATATGTCCGAATATTTTAAAAATACACCGCTTACATGTACCTACCCTTGATTAAAATTCATCATATTCAAAATGCTTATGAAAAATATACTTTTGAAATGTACTCTGTTTTATACCCGTGGTTGGAGGTAGAATTTATTTTGTGTGTATAAAAGAGTCTGGCGCAGGTGATTAATGAGGATTAATCTGAGAATTTTTGTGGAAATCTGTAAGAGGAGGTTGTTCTCTAACTGAATCTTCCTTGGGAAAAATGTGTGTTGGCTTTGTTTTAATACAGATTACGATATTGTATGGAAAATACCCTCAAATTTGTAGGTAAGTTGAATTTCTCAGGAAATATTTTGTACCCAAGTAATACTATGACTTTTCCCAAGCACATTTCGGATACACAAGGATACGATGAGTTTATTTATATAACAAAATGTTAATAATTATTGTGTTAATCAGCTGCGCCGAAGCGATTTGTATGAAACACTTCCAAAAATTATAAATGACCGTCACATAATCAACAAAGTCATGTGATATCGTAACAAATATGCTAATATATAGCCGAGGAAACCCTTTATATAAATTGAAAGTACTAAAGTTCAATACTTGTAAATTAAAACCAAAACCGACCTCGCAATGACATATTATGTTTTGAGCGCAATTTAAAGCTTCGGGAAGCCTTAACATAGCTGCGTTAATACTTATCAGAATACATTGTACACGAACACATCAAGGGTTGTCCAGTAAAATCGTGGACAAGTTGTCTTGAGTGAAAAGTAATCAACACTGCTTTCTAAACCTACATTTTAGTACATTATGCATAAATATACATAACAAATTCAAATAGACATATGCTCAAATAAACAAAATATGTGATTTCATGTTATGTGTGGTATCGACTTACAGCGCACGGATGACAACGTCGAAGTGTCTAAAGGAACGTCACGTTTAATCTTTGTTTAAACGTTTAATCTTTGATTTAACAAGTTGGAAAAGCCCCACTTGAATTCCGAGAATTTCACTGATGCACACATTCGAGTTCCCCTTTATTTCCCAATAAAAAAGACGAGGGACCACTCTTGCATACACATGGGACCTTCTGAAGACTTGTATTAATAAGGTATGGGAGATACCCTCCCTTTCATTGAACAAAATAGGCAGTCCTTTTTCGACGGTGTGCTGTGACACCATCTTTCTTTATTACCATTAGCTGATTGTCTGTATGTTTTTTTTTTTCTACCTGGGGACTCAGTCATAAACTTTCTCTTAAAAATGCCCATTCACTTGTACACAAATTTTAGATTTTGTTTTTTATATTTTGGTATTTTACGTTATAAAGTCCCTTAAGGCGCTATTACTTAATCTTCATATAATTGAACTGCTCTTCGGTGCACGGTGATGTCATCAAATGACATCATTTCTCGTGTGTTGCGTATACCACTGTCATATTAAAAATGCCCAGGAAACTGCCAAAAATTAAGTAAACGCACTGAATTTTTCCAAATGACGATATCATAGATAGTGAAATAAAAATAATTATAATTTTTAAGCAAACCTTATCTATATAATACTTTGTTTCGAAATAATACTCGCATATTCACTGATAAAACCCTGAATGTTTAATCGTGCACCGTAGGACCATTCCCTGTGTACATTCAAAGTATAATGAAATCCCTATTTTTGCCTATGATTTATCAAAACTATTAAGATGAATTAAAATATGATAAATAAACTTTTGCTGAAATGTTCAGCTCTGCGCATATTATTTTTTGATAAAAACGCGATCTTCATGATCTACTAGACAACCCTCGTAAGAAAGCAAGACCTTTTAGAATATATTTTTGTTTGACTTCACACGCCTTGGAATGTATGTGACAGTGGTTGTGGTAGATGTTTGAGTTTGTGCATATGTCTGCAGTATTTCCTTTAGAGAAGTGGACAGGCTTTCGCCACTTCGAATAAATTTCGTAAATTTCGAACCGGTGACCGGGACGGAGAACCTGCGGAAATGGATAAACAACACGTAAAGGTTGATTTTCCTGTGCAAGTTGTGGGAATTTATGGAAAAATTAATGATATAACACGTCCATTATATACATGCAGATTTGTAACAAAAAGTCAAGTGAAATGTAGGCCGTCATGGTTCGAAATTTACACGTTTTCCAAAACATGAAGGCTTGCGAAGAGAAGTGGATGAAGGCGAAAGCCTGTCCACTTCTCTAAAGAGAATAATGTGTTCAGTTTCACACAGTTACTTGAAGATATGCATGTGTGTCCAGCTTCACACAGATACTTACCTGTTCTTGACTTTGCACGCCTTGGAATATGTGTGCCTGTGGTTACATTAGATGCTTGAGTGTATGCATATTCAGTTTCATACAGTTACCTATGTGTACTCGACTCCATATGTTTAGATTAAATGTATTTGTGGTTAATGTATGTATTTACGTGAGTCAAGCTTTACACAGAAAAAAAGTTTTTGTGTTCTCTGATCTGAAAGATAGTGATAATTCAAATATACTTTGATAATGACTTTTAAGAAAGGGACAATCATAATGAATTCCATAGTCATTTTCTCAGAACATGATACCATGTCAACTGTCATGCGTATGATAAATACTAAACCCGTGTTATTTTGAGAAATAACGTACTTTGCATTAGGACGGGTTGAGATCAAGTTTTGATTAGGGTTTCATTAAATTAATTATTATGCTAATTTTACCGAAAGCTTAAATGTCAGTAAGATCAAACGCAATACAAAATTTGTAGTTTTGTCTCTGACAAAAAAAAAAAAAAGAATCTTTTCTTCATTTCATCATTTAAAGACCTATTGAAAAGATTTAAAAATGACTCGTTCATCCGGAAGGTAATTTTGTAGTAAACGATTATGTCACACATATCTTGCACTAGTGATAATTGTTGAGAAACATTGGCCATGCAATCCGTTTGATGGCTGCCTCCTGTGACCTCCAAACAAGAGCGTCTATAATTAGTGTGTGTTTACCTCAGGAAAGAATCGAATTTAATTTTTTATTCAATAAATAAATCACAGAATTTCATTGTTGAAGGTGTACTAAATTGCATAATTTTTGCATATTTTTTTTAAATTTCTTTTTCCTTTTAAAATTATAAAAATAAAATTTTAAAAATGTATCTGTTTTTTCCTTTGCCTTTGCATTTCATATAAATATTTGTACATATACATGCTTTTAAAGGAATTTTTTGAGAAGCTATTCATTTATCCAGACGATTCATTTATCTGGACGATTTCGTTCGGGACCAGAGTGTCCGGATTAACGAGGCTCCACTGTATACTTCAATCTGTCCGTGGAATGATCTAATACACTGTACTATTGTAACTGCCGTCACTTCCTATGACAATAGCGTTCTGAAACATAAAGGTGTCAGAGGAAAATAAGTAATACTCAAGGATTATTAATATATTACGGGTATAAAAAATAAGAAATTTTCAATAAATATTCATCCTCCACAGCTAGAAGAAATGTATGTTACTGCCATATGAATGGCATAAAATATCCCAGCGATTCACGTCAACCATCTGAATAAACAGAGTAACAAAATAAAAAATAAACAAGAGCATAATAATGAAACAAAGGGATGGCTTTTCATAAACTTCATTTTTTTTTTTTTTTTATTTATTTATTTATTTTTTTTTTTTGAACTTCACTGATTTTAGTCGGACTATACTTTTAGCTCAACTTGCAAATCATTTTAAACTTAAAGCACGATAATGAAAAAAAGATTGCTTTTATAATAATAAGGAAAGTTAATAAATTAACCATATGTACTTCTTTAAGACCTGATAATGAATGATTTAGAAAACAATGCGTAGAAAAATATTATCTATTTATTTACTATTTCCAGTTTATTTATTAATTATTTTCTTTTTTAATTCATTGTGATTATCATAAATGAGGTATATAGCTAATATTTCAAAGCACTTAATATGTGTGAAGTAACAGGACAGTTTTAAACCTAAGCAACGGTTTACGTGTTGAATACAATATCAGGTGCGTGATCTCCTCAGCCTTAAAGATATAATTCTTCTGATTATGACTCATGCATGATTCGGCATCTATGTGCAGTTCCAATAGATTTTATGAGATATATATTTTAAGAAGTATGGTTGGATAGCATTTAAAACTGATTAGTTAAATTCCATTGCCCTTTCATTCCAGGTATGGTCATTAAAATGAAATATTACAGAAAATTATAAAATTATTGCACAAAATGTTTGACATTGTGCTTTGTTCTATTTTTTCTAATGTTTTCAACATTTATTTCACATGTATATTCTTTATTTGTTTTGAATAGTTTAATTATGGATTTCATATGCACTTGATTGTAAGATTACCATCAAACACAAATGAAAATCATACGAAAAAAAGAAACATTACAGAAAGTAAAAAGTGTTACCTGCATATATAGGAATGGTATTTTTTACAATATATATAACTAAATATATGCAATTGCAGAATACAAGTGGAAAATTATACAATAAAATGGAAATTAAACAATACAGGTGGGCAAATTTTAAATACAACTGAAACGATATATACAATACAAATTGTAAAATATACAATCAAATGGACAATCATGCACTACAAATAGAAAAGATAGAATGAGCAACTTTTGGCATGCCATAAGAACACAAACTTTCAAATTCTTTCACAATCTGACGAATGGAAGAACAAAAAAGGAAATTTTATGTTATCCTGATGCTTTGAGGCGAAAGTCAGAACACAATTGATATGCAATGAACTATCAGAGAGAACAAAATTATTTTATCCATCCCTGTATATTCACATAACCATAAATAATACCTGTGTCTAAATTATGTAGCATTACATATCCTAGAAATAGGATGATGTAGTACGAAATTTGTGGTTGTTACGAAATTTTCTTTTTTATTGTATATGTAGCATGTTCATCTTGAAATTTCTTGGAAACAGTCTTCCTTCCATGAACGGAAAACTTTTAGATATAATTATCTATTATTCTACTTGAGCTATAATGTGTCTCCCATGCATGAATAATATTTGGGTGATATTAACTTACCTCAATTAAGTCAACAGTAGAATTATGCAACAGTATTGTATCTGGAAGTGGTAAGGGTATCCCTTCTCTTCCGAGTTCTTAAATATTCAAATTGCACATTTTCAAAAGCCTCCTTAAGTTGAAGTTCATTATACAAACACAGTAATAGGTTTTAACTTTATTTCGAAAGTTAGAAAAACTCTAATTATACCGTTAAGCACTGGTTCTACTGTTGTCACCACTGCACTAATTAATATGAAGTTCACCATTTGAACCTAAAGTATTTGAATGAGAATTAAACAAACGATAAGTACGATTTAATTAAATCAATATTTCATATTCAGTTTGGTACACACTGTCTGCATTAGCTAGATATAGTAACAAAGCAAGATTTGAGCATGGAAAGAAGATCTTTTACTGGAGTTGGGACGATATACCTTCTATATTGATATCTACAGCGATTTTTCGCCACGATACTATACGTATCACTATATTTTTGAAAAGCTTATACACTTTTACAACAGTACCGATATGCAGCTTCTAAGATTAAACGATAATTATTATTCTTGAAGAAATAATTCTTTTTATTTTTGTTAGTACAATGTATATTAAAATAACAAATATTTCTTCACAGATTGGAATAGTTTAATCGTAGAAGCTGTATATCTGTACAGTTGTGAAACAGAATTATTTTGAAAAAGTAGTGTTAATTATTACATGTATGCATTTCATATTTATATTTCATTATATAATCTATTTCTTTAAAACCACAAAACGTTAAGTAAAAAAGAAAAGAAAGAAGTCTTTAATTTATTTTCCGTATCGGTATATCTACATGAGTGTCACTATCAAAAAGTATATAGAAAATATTTTCGAGTATAAAAATGATGCACATATAGATATTTTTCTATACAAAAGCGTGCTTTTATAGAAAAAAAAAAACGGTCAGAATGGGGTCAGTTGTGGAAATCAGAAGTTTTTTTTTTTTGTGTGTGTGTGTTAAAAACAAATGTTAATGAGATCTTTGTTTAAATGTACAAAATGTCGAAATTAATAAGGGGTTTCTGTTCAAATTCTGTTTTTTATCACCCTTCTATCATATTTTTATCTAATATTATATATAAAATGACAAAGTCAAAAATAAATAAATAAATAAAATATGCAATATTAAGGACAGATGATACAAACAAGAAAATGGATACCTGGCTTGGTATATATCTTTGGACCTACTTTGGATGTACATGATGCAAATAATAAATTTATAAAATAACAAGAAATTGAAAACATTCTTTGATGTTCAATGTTCTTCCTTTCTGCAACCATCCTTATTAATCTTTAAAATTTGAATTAAAAAAATAAAATCAATGCGGTTATACTTATTCATTTTACCTTATATACATGACTTAAATGTATATCTTCAAGCTTTTTGATATAAGTTTGTTTCATCTGTACTTCAGAACAATATCACATGTAGTGAAATATTTTATCATCAGTTATTCTTAACTTTATACCTACATCAAAGCCATGGACAGTTGACTCCACATGTTTAAGATATGGCCTGTTAAAACACAAATTTATAGTTATTAAACATAAAAGAAATTAATATATTACATTAAAGATAATATAAAGATATTCGTGTTTGAATTTGTTTTTGTATGTTAAACTTTACACAGAAGGTTTTACAGTACCAACCAGGCCCAACCTGACACCTAAGCAGTCCCAGAAAGCAGACTCCGGGACTGCTTTGGGACCGCTGTGGGACTGCTCTTGGACCGCTATGGGAGTGCTCTGGGACTGCTCTAAAAAGGAGGCCCAGCAGTCCCAGCTGTCCCCGGGACTGCTTTCTGGGACTGCTTTGTTCACCCATGCGTGAAAAAGGTTCTGAGTGACATGATAGCTCCGCCCCTTGTGTATTCTGAATTTACAGTCTCCCTGTTGTTGTTTTGTTTACTTTCAGCAGAGAGGTGTTTAAGATTAAAAAAAAAAAAAACAAAAACAAAAACAAAAAAAAAAAAAAACAAAGAAAAAAACAAACAAACAAACAAACATGGATTTCTTACAAAATGTTAAAAAGTAGAGAAAGATAAACATGTAATTAAACTTTAATACAGGTGTTTGAAACAAAATTATCTATGTTACAGTAAGATATTCAGAGGGACGTACTGAATTGGATTTTCTTTTTTAATTGAAAAAGCTAAAACCATGCTAAAAAGCACATTCCATGCTATTTTTACCGCCCTCAATAAAACCTAATAATCAATTTTATTAAATGACCATGAAATAAAATTATTCTACCATTCTTCCGTCATATAAACAATGTGAAAATTGTAAAGTATTGGGGATTTATTTATGAATTAGTTTCTCATTTATAAACAAGTTACTAAAAAGGTACATTTATTTAAAAAAATAAACATTTGAAAATATCGGGAATTGTGTGGTGTCAACACTTGAGGTTTCAATCGCCTTTGGGCATGATTAGCAGAAAGTCAATGAATGATATCAGTGTTACACATCACTGAACACGCTGGTCAACAATGACACTATTTTCAATCTATGAACTGCAAAAAATCTTTGTTTCAGTAAATGTGTATAGATTTATTTCGGGATCAATTAATTTTAAACATTATCTGAGGGTCCCATTCACGTGATTTACAGATGTACACTCAGATGTGCACTTATCTAATAAAACATTTAAAACTTTGTGTTATAATTGTTTTCTGTTACATAGAGAATCTAACGATAATCAAATTGGTAAGTCAGTGAAAATAATCATGACTGAAATTTAATACTGGGCAAAATTTTTTAAAGAATTTTTCAAAAGCCCAAGTACTTTCCAGTAAGAAAAATGCATTCAGAGTATAGCATGGGAATCGGCCTTGCTCTATAATTATAAAATCTATTTAAACTAATTCTGATAGAGAAAAAAAAAAGTTTAATTTTCTATAAAAAATAAATTAATATGGAAACCAATATCAATCACAGAAAATAAAGAAATTGATTTATTTTGGTGTAAAATTTTTATACCACATAACTTTGTTTAAGTAATCATATTAGTAGTAGGTGTGAACGTCTTCGTCCTCCAATATTTTTTATTTGTTTCTATACACGTACTGTGATTTTCTTAACAGTTCAGAAATGACTGTCACATAAGAATTGTAAATATTTGTTGTTACTGCTCAGAAAGAAATGCATCATATATTTCCACTGCCTTTATAGTTACATTGTATATTGGTAATCTCATTTCTGAGTAAGCTCTGCCCATTAAATTAATTAACCCCGCCCACTGGGACTGCTTTTTGGGACCGCTGAGACTGCTTTCTGGGACTGCTCTGGGACTGCTCTGGGACCGCTGTGGGACTGCTTTAGCAGTCCCAGAAAGCAGTCCCCGGGACTGCTCTGGAACTGCTTTGTGTCAGGTTGGGTCTGGTTGGTACTGTAGCTAGTCAAAGTTACCTACAAGTTCGGTGCAAATTTCAAGTTTTGTTAAGGTCTTAACTCTTGCATATAAGGTTAATTGTAAGATTTGCTATATGTTTTTCATATTCAACAAAAAGATTATGCAATCCGGTAAATAGTGCTGCCAAAAAATATAATTTATACTGTTATACCATTAAATTTGTTTGCTATATAAACCCATACTTAAAAATAAGTTTAACAATTCCAATGTTTTTCCTGAGCGGTCAAAACGAAATCGATGTTGGACAGCTTAGTCAGATATATAGGACCTGTCGATGAGATATTGGTCCTGTTAATGAGAATTTGGACCGCTAAGACGTACACGTACTTCACGTCAAACTGTAGGCGAAATCAGTTATGTCTTATTTGTATTCGTTGGTGTTCGACAGTTACTGAATATTGGGTGAGTTAAATTCACAGTGCGGGTAAACAAAATTTACATCATGAAATAACGGAGGAAATAACGGAGGGTAATCAAGCTCAGAAGACCATTAAACAATACAAATCAGGAACAGAGCAAACACGGACGTCTAAAACATCAGAGATGGGATCAGGTGCCATGGAGGAGTCAGCATCCCCTGCCGAGCGATTGCATACATGGACGGCAGCGCACGTCATTTCAAAATAGATATAGAACGGTATGATAAAAGATCTATTAACTGTGTATTCGCACAAAACATGTTTTGCTGAACCCACGTACCAAACTGTTTGGTTCTTGGGTCCAACAAAGTGCATGTTGTACTCGAACCTATCATGAATTGTATAATGGCAAATTCCCCTTTGACTTGTCAACCGTTTTATCGAACTTGGTGTCTTCACCATCTTTGCAGGAAGGTAAAGGCTTTCCATAAATTATCACTGTGCACCCTGTGCCTACACTTCTGTGAGCTACCAAAATATGACGTCATAATGGAAAATGACGTCAAGTCACTGTCAACTCGAGCTGCTTTGACGGGGAGATTATCATTAATTTTACATCCTGCTTCAAAGTGCGTCTTAAATGTTGGAACGCCATTGCAAAGTTCAGGTTTCGTAATAGTGTTTCTATATCTTATATGTCCAAATATTTTAAAAATGCATCGCTTACGTACCTTTTATTGAAATTCAGCGTGTTCAAGATGCTAGTGAAAATATACTTTTGAAATGTACTCTGTTTAATAACCGTTGTTAGAGGTAGAATTTAATATGTGTGTATATGGGTCTGGCGCAGGAGATTAATGAAGATTAATCTGAAATCTCTTGTGGAAATCTGTAAGAAAAAGTTGTTCTCTAACTGAATCTTGTTGGGAAAATGCATTATGGTTTTGTTTTGATACACGTAACGATATTGTGTGGAAAATACCCTCAAATTTGTCGGAAAGTTGAACTTCTCCTGAAATATTTGGTATCCAAGTAGTACCATGGCTTTTCCCAAGTATATTTCAGGTACGCAAGAAAACGAAGAGTTCATTTATATAAAAAAATGTTAATAATAATTGTACTAATCGGCTGCGCTGTATTTGAACAAAATAAATGTGACCGTCATGTGATCAACATTGTCATGTGATAGCATGACAAAAATGTAGAATATATAGCCCATGAAACTCTCTAAATAAATTGGCTGCACTTAAGTACATAACTTACAAATAAAAAAAAAAACAAACCCGGCCTCTCAATGCAATATTACGTTTTGATCGCCTTTTAAAGCTTCGGGAAGTCTTAACATAGCTGAGTTTACATTGTAGAAGTTAGTTGTATGCTAGGCATCCTTTCATTTTGTGGACCATTTGTATGGTGTGAAATTGAATGCTGCTATTTTTTCCGTCAGAAGAATTTCAAAGATACAAGAATATGACTGGACCTTAAATGATTATTTATTGATTAATGCCGCATCGGCAGTATTTTAGTTATATTTTGGTGGTCATAACCCGACAATGATACCTGAGAATCTAAATAACATGAATTCAAAAACAGATATTAAAGGGAGTCTAATAACTAAGTCATGAAATTTTTGTTACTTCATTACATAAATACTCATCAATTGGATAGTATCCATTTATCAAAAACTTACTCAAACGCAACGATGTTTCCGTGAAAAAGCTTTTTGTTCATAAAGACTTTGATTCGTATATCAACACTCTGCAAAATAAATTCGTTATCTTAATATACATAATTTCTTAGGTATGGATCAGGGTGTTACACGTCAATTACTTTGTTCATTAAGTAATTTTCTCAGACTATTAATGTACATCATTTTAAATAATGTTGATGGGAGTTTTGAAAAGAAGTATTCAAAGTTTGTTTGTTTCTCTGTTTCTGTTTGATTGTTTGTCTGTTTGATTTTGTTTTTTTTGTTTGTTTTTTTTTTTGTTTGTTTTTTGTTTGTTTGTTTGTTTGTTTTTTTTTTTTTTGGGTGGGGGGGGGGGGGGGAGTATTTAATATTACTATTCATATTTATTTTTGAAATCCTTCATGCATGTAACTTACTCCATCCAATTTGGCAATCAATGTAGAATTTGTACATATTGGATGCCGAATGTATACAAACATGACTGTAGAGAACTTCAAGACCGCCAAATTCTTCTCAAATGTGACGTTTGGCGTCTCCAAACTGTAGATGTCCAAGTCCATATATTGATTTGGGAATTTCTCTTCAAGCTTTGAGAAATAAATTTTGAGTACTTTCATTACAAACACAAAGTGCTTAAGGTTAATGTCCCTCTGATACGAAAGATTACTTCCAAAGATTACGTCCAAGAATATCCGAAGAATAATTTCATTTTGTTTAAAATTATTTATTTAAAGCCATTAGCTGATTCACTATAATATTCCTACATGACAATCACACACTCTGGCAGTAATTTTTTAAAAAAATCTAATATATATTTGTATTTTCTTTTGCTAACACATTTTGCTAGTTATTTCTGGTTTTCTATCCTAATCGTTTGCAACCAGTTTATGTTCTTGTTATAAAAATATCTTTATTTCTGTATAAAAACTTAAAGAGTAGAATAACTCATAATGTACTACATGTATACAGAGTATTTTTTGAGGGAAAAAATATGAGTATTTTTCTTTAACAAATGATAAAAAAAAGATAACCCTTGTTATTGGTCAATTATTTTAACAAAACAATAGATAAACAACGTGATATTCTGACTAAAAAAGAATTGCTTCATTATGATTTTGAAATGAATTTAAGATGTGTGACACGAAATGTTATTTTTATACGGAGCTTTTTAAATTTTATGTATAGTGATAATAAGTTAAGTGCTTTTCATTTACTGTGTCAAATTTTCTTCATATCATTATGAGATATAAAATTTAGTTTAGAAAAAGTAGGCCTCGCTTCGTGCCTCAAAATCTTTTTCCATTTGAATCTATTACTTTTATTATTGATAAAAAATAATGTGAAAATTTTAGTTTTTTAAATGCAGTTAAGAACAGATTGACATTAAGCCTTTATTCGACAATAAAAACTAGGTACTTATCGATTTTAAGACAAACAAGGTAATTTCAAAAACGAGTACCCACTAATGCAATCGTCTAAAATCATTATTTCCATTATGTAATAAAAAGAATAATATTTATCAAAAAGTACTTCAATTAGTTAAGTTTTTTTTTTATCAAGAAAGCAAATTATCTTTGTTAAACAAGTTTACACGAACCTCTGGTACTAGACGTCCGACACAAACACCCTCGGTACACGAAGTATTCAATCCCGGATTTCCAGGAAAAAGCTAAGAAAGCAAAACAAATTGTATAAATGAAAAGTTTATTTTTAAAAGTTGAAAGATATCTTATTGTCTTATTGATTCATCAATCCTTTTAAACTTACTGATATGTAAATCTACATCCTTGTACCTTTGGTGTATGTAAATATTAACGTTTAAAACTCTTAAAGGGTAATAGAAATGGATTTTCTAATAGTCAATTGATACATAGCCCTAATACCTTCTGTGAATTCAAATATTTGGTAACTTTTTTTCTCATCCCATAGTTAGAATAGATGAGACCCACATAATTTCAACTGTGAACTTGCCAAATTTGGAAGGAGAATTACGTTTGTGATTTTGTTTGTCTGCCGTTTACCTATCCGCGCTCCGGGATGATGAAACTTAGACTTAAATCAAATGTATATTCACCTGTGAAATATTTTTTTTTTCAATTTTTGTAAAATAATATTGAAAACTATTTCAATTTTGAACTGCTTGATTTGTACACTATTTCTGTGCAATAAAAAGATTTTGATCTAAGTTTAAAAAAAAAAAAAAAAAGCCAGGGGCCTTTTATCTACCTGCGTACTGTCCGTCTGACAACTTGTGAAACCTATCTAAAAAATTAAATCTATTTTATTTATATGGGTAAATGTTTGTAAGGCTTTTTTACGTCCCATTCAAAATTTTTTCAGTCATATAGAAAGGTCACCCTATTCAAGTGAAGCGATTCAAATTTAGACATTTACTCGGCACTCATGGCTTGAGCAGTGATTCCGTAGGAGGATTTTTTATAGTGCTAATGCCTAGCGTGACACGAGTCCTCAACTTTTAAGGTCTCATCCGAAAGACCCATGAATTTCACGTGTAGTTCCAGGTGGTTAGCGAAGGAACAGTCACAAGTTGCATTTTGAATGTTTAAGTCTCCAGTTGGACACAGCGCCGGTTCAACCCGGTTCAAAATTCTTATTTAAAAACTAAGCTGATTATTTAATAAAAAGATACAACTTAGGACAATGCCGTATCCTAGACGAAGATAGGAGACAGAAATTTCGTAAGGGTTGATTATTTCAGTATTAATGAAGTGACACTCTCACTAACTAATTGTAATGACCTCATATGTGATTCCCCTCTTACAAAAGATGTTTGCCCTGACTATCAATATCTTCTCACCATCTTGGCTACAAGACCTACAGATACTGATCTTCTTACCACTTTTGCCTTTTTCTGTTATTCAATGATAAAACTATTAACTTTCAAAAAGAATTGTTAATCAAAACATATTGATGATTGTTAATATAATCTACTATTATAATAAGTGTCTAAAATATTTTTTGAATAGCGGGATATAATACATAATAAACATAACCGATAGATGTCAACAAAAATTTGACAGAACTTCTGTTTTTAAGCTACGAAAATTAAATTAAATTTTAACACTTTCAGAGTTAATATGTCCTGAAAAAAGTAGAAAATTACAAGTTTTTTTTCCAAAAATTAAAAAGAAAATATCAGAAAGACATCCGAGCAAGTATTGGTCACAAACCAATTTACATTCATTATTTTGGCTGAAACGCTTACCTTCTCAGGGGTAATTTTATAGCGAAACATTCCATGTGTTTGAACACCTTCAAACAAAGATTGAACCACGTCTTTAGAAATCCATATGTACACCATTTTTGATGAATCATTATGCAGAGTATAATTAGCTGAACCATTTTTATATAAACTCTTCATAGTCGGAAACCATAATATTTCACCCTAGAATGTAATAAAAAGAGTTTTGATTTTGTCATGAAGTATTTAAAAAAAGTTCTGATTTTATACAGCAATGTATTAGAAAGGAGTTCTGATTTAAACCATGCCATATGCAATCTTTGAATAACTGTTCATTCATAAAATGCATAATGATTCAAATAGAAAAATAACATAAAATAAATTGAATCATTTGAATAAAATTAGGCTAGTTCCGTTTTATCCTGGACTTTGATGCTTCTAAGAAAAGGCGTAGGGGGTTCATAAATTTTGGAGCATAACAAATTTATGTAGAGAAAAACTGTGTTAAACATACTTTATTCTTTCTATTAATACTCTTGTATCAATAAGTATTTCTTGACAATTACTTATGATTAATAAATTTACAAACCAATAGACATGAATGTAAATTACATGCATACACTTGACAATTTATGTTAGTATGGAAAGAGAGTTGAAAACATTTAGTTATTTATTAACTACATACAGGTTATATAAATTAGTCCTAGGAATTCTATTTCCACTGTGGAATAACTATTTCGGGATTTTTTTTATAAGGGCGAAACAATTACATTAAGTTTTGAGGACTCTTTCAAATATTTGTTTGTTTCTCCTTGTTAAATATGAAATTATATTCATGATATTAACATTTCTAACTTTTTTCAAAATGTTTTGGAAATTAAATGTAAATTTTTGTATTGGAAATTCAAGTTTGTTTGTTTGTTTGTGTATTGTTTATGTTCCTCTCGAGAATTTTTCACTTATATTGAGACGCCACCATTAGCCAGTGGAGAGCTGCAAATTTTGACCTTCACTCTGCACTCAGGACTATTGAGCAGTGAGGGACCTTTTTTGGCCAGCACTTACTGCGACACGAGACATCGGTTTATACGGTCTCATCTGAAGGACCGGTTCCACGTCCCACAGTGGGATTCGAACCCGCGACGTAAGGAGGCAATTCAAGTAAATTCAAATAGGGCCATTCCAAGTTTTTTCTCTGTTTAGCGTCCACCCATCTTTCAAAAACTTACCTACCTATTCGCAAAAAACACACAAGCCAAAAAATAAAACACAGACTTTACAGTAATAAAAATGACATCATTCAAAGTATTTGATTTCATGAATCTATTTTTCTCATAGAAATATCTTCTGTTTGTTAAAATCAAGGTATTAAATGCTTAAAATATACATCATATGACGTCCTAGTGAGAAATATTTAAGGAACTTAACAAATTTCCAAAATTTTTTACAAAAATAATCAATTTTAGGACTCCTGATTTTGTTTGTTTTTTCTGATATGGGGTGCCAAAATCCAAGGCGCACGCGGACGCTAAACATAGAAAAAACTTGGCCTAGGATTATACATGACACACCATCCACTGGTATCTAGCACAAATGCCTGCTAAGATACCTCATTTTTGTGAGGGAATTTGAAAGTGGCAATACTTCGATGACAAATTCTTGTGAAAAATTATGTTATTGAGGAACGTATTGTCTGACCTTAAAACAACCTACCAACTCGACATTTTCAGATGGAAGAAAAAATAAAATAAAAACAAAAACTGAGTATAATTTCATCTTTCGCATAATAAAGGTCTGTCATTCAGTCAACTGAATGGTCACTGAAAGGTCTGGAAAGGTGACTGAATGGCAGAGCTCTGCCACTCAGCTTTCAGTAATCGTTCACCTATCAGTTAACTGAATTGCAAAGTTTCATTCTTTGTTTAACACTTATGTCCAGTACACCTTATGGTGTTATCTTTTCAAACTAATATGAAAAGGTTTTCGTGGAATATTAAAAAAATTGTAATATAACCTTATGATATGTATTCAGATATGTGGATTCATATTTTGGTTGATGCTGCATGAGGAGGTTGGCGATGAATGGGACTTTCATTATCCTTGGAGTCACTATAATTACAAAAAGAATACAAATCTTTGTTTTTTAATGGTTGATAGAAATTATACCAGCTAAAAGCTAACCTATACGATTTAGATCTTTCAAATCATCGTCATGTTGTAAATTTGAATTAATGCAAATATTACTTATACTACAATTGACTCGTTGCTCAAATCATACTATATGATGAGTTATTCTATATTATACATTATTTGTAAAAAATCACAAAACCATTGTCTGGTTTCTAGAGGAGGGGGCATCTCAAAAAGTAAAAAAAAAGAAAGTTTTTCCCTGTTTTATGGAGTATTACAAAATACAGATACATGTGCTAATGATTTAAACAAAAAAAAAAAAAAAAAAAAAAAAAAAAAAATCAGAAAATAATTTAGAAACTTCAAGGGGAAGTATTTTTTACTTTTTCTTTTATAACATTTTTCATTACCCCCTCTCCGAGAACTTTATTTGATCATAACGTTAAAAACTCAAGTATTGTTACGTCCATCTACTTATCAATACAAAAGTCGTTAAAATCAGGTTTAAAATTATAATTAGATATTTTAACATATTATTTCTTAATGTTGTTTAATTTGATAAATTATATCAAAATAGTTTCTCGAAATGTGTAGCTTGATTTTACTATGTTGCACAAAGTATGGCACAATGACAACCCCAGTCGGCCCCTTAACAGGGTTTCCGTTCATACATAATGTACAATATATTACCACACGGAAACTTATAAATTTATAACTTGACCACTATACTGTACATAAATGTTACTTCAAAGCGGAAATACGTACAATTAATTTTATCCATTTCCGTATTGCCTCTCGTTAAGAAGTAGAAAGATAATAACAAACACAGCTGGAAAAAAAAAAAAAAACAACGTGTCAAAAAATTCTATGAAACAAAATTCACATAATCTGAGCATTGTTCTTGCATTTGGCACTACGATTACATAATCATTTAAAAACCACTGCTGAAAGAATTTTAATATCTTTACTGAAATTCCTTTTTGGACCTTTGAAGTATAAAAACGGATTTTTGTTTGTATATATGTTTTTTTTTTGGGACCACTTAGTAATTTTAGAGTAATTTTTTTCAGCTTTCTTGGACGTACAGTTTATTTACATGTATATGACTTTAAATTGTATCAACATGACGTCATATTTGCTTGGACACTTGCAATGCAATGTTAAACAGAAAGAAAAAAAAAACTATAATTCCAGAATGCACTTATTTATTAATTATAAGAACAGTTTTACCTTTGTTTGAGTAAGTCGTTCTTTTTTAAATTTTTCTTCGAGCTCCGACGAATTTGCTACACATATGGAATTCTCAGGTTTTTCGCAGTCTGTATATTCTATACTGATATTTGGTGTAGGAATGGTGCAACTGTCCTTGCCTTGTTTCATTGACACATTAAAGGTACCTTTTTCAGTACTTCCTTTGCATTTTATCCATAACAAAAGGGTTATATTTAGTGCAAAAATCTTACTTCAAATATAATAGAAGCAAACCTATTAAAAATAACTTTAAGATTTTTTTAATCTCGTTAGATACAGTGCATGTTAAAGGGATAAAAATTCTCAACTGTTAAATAATTATTACACACTTGATTCGATTACGGCTAACTTTTAGATACAGCAAAACTTACTTAGAAGGAAATATGTTATATTCGGTCAACAGGAGATATTTACTCCTCCATCTGGCACATTTGATAAAGAAATCTTGTGTCTAGGAAAGTTATACATTATTTTAACACTTCAGATGTATTGAAAATCATACTATAAAAATGGCATGGCCAACCTTGTCTTAACTTGGCTTCTATTATGGCCTCTAATCTGGCTCCAACCAAATTTTGTCATTGCCTCAAAAATGGTCTTGCAACAAATTCGGCTTCTTTAAAATAACTTGTTTAGAACCCTACAGCATTTGGTCAATTAGTTGCATATGAGTATTGGAAATTTTTGCTTGATGATTTTCATTTGTTTGAGTACATAAAAAGTCCACCTCCATAGAAAATCATTTTTTTTTAAATATTAAATAAAGTACAAACCCATTAACACTTAGTGAGGAAACAAGAGGCCAAAGTGCCTTACCGGTCATCTGAGTATAATACAACAATTTAGAGGATCCATAGAGTATAAAATGAACTGAAAGGTGAAGCTTTGTTGCCCAAAAGCAAAAAAATAGGGTGATCAGGTTCAACAAAATAATTAGTCTAGTATTCATTAACAGTTCATAAATTAGGTTCTAATCTGTTCCTCATTTATCACTCTCACCATACAGTAAATTAACAAACTATCATTGCTTCTGTATTTTAATTCCTTCTTGAAATCTCTTACATGGGCCTCCCTTGGTCTTTGATGAACATTTAATAAGACAAGCTAATTTTGTCTCATTTTTATTTATCTATTACTTACAAGTCTACCTGATCATTAAAACTATGAAAGTACTTTTTTTTTATTATACAATAAAATTCTGCATGACTCTCTTATTCTATTAACCTTTCAAGTACATTTTTACAGTGATTAATTATCAAACAAAAAAAAATGACAAAAGGGATTCCTCTTAGTAGAATACAAATTAATAGAGCCCTGGCCAGGACCAAAACACTTAACCAAATGGTCCAGACGTTCAAAAATCTGGTAACAATTCCTTATCAAAACTTTTACTCTTATTGCCTCTGAAATGCCCAGGTGCAGAGAAGATTTTAAAAGAAATGATGCGTTTTACTACAGATTCACTATATTATCAACAGAGCCCCCCCCCCCCCCCCCCTCCCCAGTGAGAAACACCAGAACCTCTCACTCTGGCACCAAAAGTTCGCTCATCATAAGTAATCACTTTGTTTATCTGCTTAACACTTGGGAGCAAACAGGATTATTTAAAAGAATTAATGCATTTTCACTATATTATCAACAGCCCCACCATTAGCTTACACCAGCACCCAGGGGTCATGCAATTCACTACTTAGGAAGAAGCACTCTTTCTCATCATAACTACATGTATATACTTAGTTTCTTTTCTTTTTAAACAGAAGCAGAATTTTTTTTTTTTTCAAATAAATTTTTCACTATATAAACAAAAGAGCCCCCTACCCCCCCCCCCTTTTCACCAGAACCCTTGACCCTGGGGCCATGAAATTCACAATTTTGGAAGAGGCATCCTTGCGTATTATAACAATGTTCTTAGTTTGTTTTAATAATACCCAGGAACAGAGAAGAATATTTTTAAAGCATTAATGCATTTTCACTATATAATGAATAGAGCCCCGCCCTAACATCAAAACCCCTGATCCAGGGGCCATGAAATTCTCAATTTTGGAAGAGGCATCCTTGCTTATCATAACTATTAATTTGTTTGAATAATGCCCAGTAGTAGAGAAGAAGATTTTTCAAATAAATAATGCACTTTCACTATATGATCTATATAGCCCCATCCTGGCACCAGAACCCCTGACCCTGGGGCCATGAAATTCACAATTTTGGTATTGTCACCCTTGCGTATCATATCTATGTATTCAATTTGTTTCAATGATACCCAGGAGTACAGAAGAAGATTTTTCAAATAAATAATGCACTTTCAATACATGATCTATATAGCCCATCCTTAGCACCAGAACCCCTGACCCTGGGACCATGAATTTCACAATTTTGGTAGAGGGCTCAATGCTTATTACATTCATGCATACAGTTTGAATGCTTGATGTCCAGGAGAAAAGAAGAAGATTTCTTTTACAGATTGCATTAATTTTGGTGGTTTTAGCCCCACCCCTCAGGCCCCAGGGGAGTAGGGACCATGGTATTCATAGATTTTGTTCCCCTTCACACATAGATGCCATATGCTTAAATTGGCTGAAAATATTCAAATGTTAACACACCACGCACGGCGGACGAAGCACGACGACGGACGAATACAGATAGCAATATTAATAGATCACCTGAGTGACTAAGGTGGGCTGAAAATCAAAATTCGTTTAAGTTCTTAGGTTATTACTACAGAACCTATCTGCTCTCATGTCTTTGTTGTCTGAAAAAGTTAAATGTACGATATCAATTACAATCACATCAAACCTGCTTCGGAAAATAATATTTTTATTTAAAACCAAAACTGAGATCAAATACTTTACAGAGCAGAAATGTGAGGCGAGGCAAATTTTAAAGCAAGGCCAAAATTTGGTTTGGCACCATTTTAGAGGCAAAAATAGAAGCTTGAATAACTTTGAGGCAGTACAGGCCAAAGGGGCCAGGCCAGGTTTTATAATAAGGCATAATAAAGTTATAAAGGGAGACTCCTTTTCAAGATGGCTTCTGTGTACATGTAATAGGATGTTCCGAACTATGTACCAAACAGAATTGTAATCTAACAGTCTTTTACCTATATTCAGTAGGAAATGTCCCGATCCAGTAATCGTTATTTCTATCCCACAATGCTGAACATTTCTGTGGAAAATAAGTAAAATTGCATTTATTTTTTTCAAAAAATGTAAGTATGAATGTGATTTTTCATAAAATAATATTTGCTGACTGTTTAATAATTAGTTTAATGCATTTTCTTTTCGACTTTGTATTTATGTAAATGGTTGTCCGATTTACACTTTTTCGATTACCTTTTTTCAGTAAATACCCTAGGCCTATAGATAGGTTTCGTGCACATTTTAGAAAACAGGTATTGTCTTTTTTTTTTTTTTTTTTTTTTTTTTTTTTTTTTTTTTTTTGTAAGAAAATCTCGATATGGTGATTCCATAGGCATTAATGAATGAATTTTTTAAAGAAAACATACAATTAATGTGTATATGCACTGGGAAAAAATGCAGTGGATGAATTTGATATGTACAGTGTTCAATGTACATAATTCTGCATATAATATCAACATTACATTTCCTGAGATTAATTTGCACACATCTTTTTTTTTCCTTCCAAAATATGAAAACACCGAGGTTTAATAGTCGGTATCAATGAAACCTACTAATGAAAACATGTCGTGCGAAGTTAAATTACCGCAGCCATGACGGTCAACAATTTCTGAAAATGTGTACATGACACGAACTTTTCTTAAAAACTTAAACTAAAAAAAATAATAATAAAAGGATCCGTATAATTAAAAAAAAAAGTTTAACTATGAATGTGGATAAGTTTAGAAGGATTTAAAAAGTACATAGACAAATATATTAAGGATGCACAAGCAAATCAGATTTTTTTTTTAAAATTATAATTCCTACTACAGATGTTTATAAAATCGCCTAAAGCTTCTGTGAACATGTCTGAGATTTTCGATTGAAATGGGGCAGTACCTTTCGTCTTTATCTCGACACTCCACTTTTCCACTTGCATTTACCGAAAGAGTATCGATAGTTACACTCAATCCAGTTGTTTTATTAATGAGAATAGATGCGTTCAAATTCGCATAATCTGTATACGTTAAGCTGCAAAAAATAGAATATTTCTAATTGAGCAACGAACATTTTGACTTTGTAAAAAATGTAAAATAAAAACAAAAGCGCATATTTAGGGAAAATCATGCAGGAATTAATATACCGAAATTTAAGTTAATTTCAAATTATTTTAAAAGTTACGTTTATATACACATTTACACATTTATATGTTTTTCAAAATAAAAAAAAAGAAGAGAAGGAGCTCGAGAGAACACTGAAAATTGTCATTTTTAAGTTTTATTTCTAATAACATAATTAAAATAAAATACTTTGTTCAGAAAAAAAGAAAACTAAATTCTACTTTTGAATCGAATAATTGACATGGCTTGTCGTCACGTTTGCTGTAGGTATGCTGAATGTTGAAAGCTTCACTTTCTTAATAGATTCCAAAATTGTATTCATGGCTGAAAATTATAATAATAATAATAATATAATAATAATAAGAAGAAGAAGAAATGAGCTTGCAGTAGTTTGTTGTATCTTTTGTCAGTTTCTAAGGGGATCAATTTCTTAATAATGGTTATTATTCCTCAGAAAATGAATAAATATGATCCAACATTGTATTGACTTGAAAATCATTCTACTTACTGCTCAGAATATCTAAAACAAAACTGAGGCAACCATGCATACCGTACGTAAGGCCGTTCTGTGTGAGCCTGATCACAACTCCAACATTGGCACTCTCTTCATTGGATTCCATAACAAAGAAGACAACCAGCAGTATGAGCACTAGAGGACCCGTGGTTTTGTTATGCTGTAAAAATAACCAAGTTACCAAGTAAGATCACCGTATGATTATATTTACACTAAAAGATTTGCTTTACATCTTAGTTGAGATGCTTACCTTCAGGAAATCTTGCCAATTAAAGACATATAGTGGCCCAGTTGGCGCAGTGGTTAGAGCGTTTGCCTCCCCACCCCACTTTTTCAGAGTATATTTTGTTATGCTAAATTTTCTTTTAGATGCTAATCCCCCCCCCCCCCCCCCCCCACACACACACACACAAATGTTTTGTAGCTGTAAGGTCGAGCACTGACAAATTCCAAAATTTGGACAATTATTTTTTTTTTCTTTTTCTTTGCTTGTCAGATGTGAGATTTTTTTTTTTTGGAAAGTTGCCCCCCCCCCCCCCTTTGAAACCGCAGTTACGGACTTGGGAGGTGTTTTGAAAGAATATATCCCTTAGTTATTTCACTAATACGGATTTAAGCTTTGTTTTTCCTCCTCATAAAAATAAAGTAAAGCAGTTTGTATTGTATTTATTGCAACTTACATAATCTCTACTTTCAGAGATGAAAGGACGAAGAAGTTGATCAAAAATGTCGATTAAGACCAGATTAATAAATTTATTCCAATAATCTAAACGTATCTTACCTTCAAATACATTATTAAACTTCCTCTTATTAAGATTCCATAATCTACACAAGGCTTGTTTTGAATTTCGAAATGCAAACGTAAGCCCTTTATTAGTGGAAAAGAATTAAATGAGGAAGTTTACAATACAATATATAAAGCTGCAAAGCAGTGAGAGAGTTAGCCATCAATAAAAACCTCTTTTTTGTACTTCCTTATGGGTATAAAAATGAACCGGAAGGTATTAACGTAATGTAAAAAATACGTATTATTAAAACATTCAGATGTTAAAGCATTAAGTTTGCCTCCATTATTATTATTATTTGCGTGCATCCACATGTATACGTGCTCAGGGTTTTAACTTTAACTTGAATGTATTAAACTAATGGACAATTATCACCCGAGATAAGCTTGAAGGAAGACACATCTTGTGAAAAGCTGAAATAGAAATGGGAATCCCCTACAACCTTTGTCCACTCCAGCTAGTGGTGTCCAGCTACTGTCATGAAAATTTGAGAGTGACAGGCTTTAAACAGTATAGACGTACAACAGAATGGGGGAGATAACTCTTGTGATTTCGATTAAACCTTTAAAGGTCATGTCAAAGACGTTAAATATTAAGCGTCAAAATGACGATGCATTTTAAAGAAAAAAAAAATGGGATTCGGGACTTTGATTGTGGTTTCTTTATGAATATCAGATCAATTCCATGATTATTTGCGCATTTGCATCAAACCCCCTCCCTTCAATAAAAAGACGAAAGGAAACTAAGGTTATCCCTTAAACTGCTCTAATTTCATATGTATCCGTGATCATACAACAACAATTTGTCACATTGCTTTTTTCCGAATTTCGGCGACATAACATTCAGATTACCGGTCTCTCCTATAAGTATGCAAATTGTGTTTTTATTTTATAAAAATAAAATACAGTTTTTAGAAGTTCATTGATCAAAGAAGAATAACTCTAATAATGTAGATATATGCTTCCCCTCCCCTTAGTATGCATATGGCTATTCTTCCAAAGGATTGTTTACTGAAATAAACTGTATACAATATTTCATTGTGGCAAAATGATATGACCTTTTACTGTAAACGATTTCAATTCGAATTTCTTCGAATAAAAACAAAACGTTTGATACCGCTGTGCGTGATTGTTCAGGAACATGAATAATTTCACAATAGATAAAGAATTTACAGTTTGTTACATTTAATGTTATATGGTCGAAAACAGAATTTCCGTTTTATTTAATTATAGAGCAACAAAAGGTTGTAAACAAATACATCGGGGTGCGGTGTGGGATACCGCCATGCCTCTCTTATTTAAAATAATTTAGAAAGTGTATCTATTAAATAAATAAAATTCAATGCAAGTCGAATTCATTTAGAGGTATGAAACTGAATGCATGTTGATGAACTACAACCTTTGACACGTGGACATATAAACTATAATTAAGAATCCTTTGAGTTAGAAAATGGGCTTTATTTAACACAAATGACACAAGTACATATAGTCAATATTTAATCTTGAATATATGAACATTGGATAAATAAAGGAATAAGTACCTAAGTGATTCCATAGACTAAATTTATCTGCAGATGTAACCGATGTTTCAGCAAACTCGAATGGCCTGCGCTGCAGAGAAGTAAAGGGGGGGGGGTCTTAAAATTTCAGATGCCAATACATCTTCAATAAAATGCATTGTAAAGTTTTCAGTTATTTAATAAAATAGGTAAAAAACGTATTAAAAGCAGAAGATATTTTCCAGCTTGGGTTCATGTGTTTATGTAGATTCATAGCATTGTTTTCGTCCCAAGTCTGCAAGGCGCTGTGAGAAGCGTAACTTAAGGAGAATAAGGGGGGGGGGGGGTTCCTATAATTTCAATTAAACAATGTTTAAAAATTACCAAAATAATAATAATAATAATAATAATAATAATACCAAGAATATATTGGCAACTAGCTACATGTAGAAAGTATTTTTTTCCCAAAAATTAAACGATAGGGGTTTTTTTTTCATAAAAAAATATAGTATTCAAATTGATAAACACGCATTTTTAAGCTAAAATGATCCATAGTTTTTAGTTTTAAATCCCTCTCAATAACAGAAAATGAAATAATTCTCGATGTTAAACTGCATAAGAGTACATATGTAATAAACTACATCAAAACTTACCACTGGATTCATTTTTATCGCTAGATAAATCCCACACAGTGACAGCAAGATAGAAACAAGTCAATGATCGCAATGCACCTGTCGACATGACATTTGACGCATTTTATGTGTAGTGAGAGGTGGATCAACAAATTTTTTTTCATAGTGAAAAATGCATTTTATCATTAAAGAGAATATTTGCAAATGTTAGGTAGACCATCAATACAAATCTGAAACCCTTGTTTAGTGTCATTATTTAAATGCTATTAAGAGAATGTATTGAATTAATTCTACCGTGTATTTTGTACAAGGTTTGCATGTTTCACGCAGAGGTGCTTCATTAAATCGCTTTTTTTTCGCAAGGGCATACACTTTATAGATCTTGAACATTTTTTTAAATATACATAACGGAAACATTCCTAGAATAATTAATTATAAATGATTAAATCCCCCTCTCCCCAGGAAAATGTCTGCGTTTTTATCAGATATCCATTCGAAAAAATCATTAGTGTAATTAGCATAGCATCACTTTGTTAGAATAATCTAACTGTGTCTCGGGACAGGCCCTCACCACAATTAGAATGCCTCCCATATACCCGTAATGTTGCAGAAAATTGCAGAATTGCTCCGAAACGATTTTGGAGAAAATTAATGAAGTTGCATTGAAAATAACAGTCAAATTAATCATAACAAACCTTTTTTGAGACTGTAAATACCTTTCATCTAAAAATTTAATCCATATAATGGAAGAATTCAACACTTTTTCACCAACTTTTTTTACTCGTTTCAAATACACACCATGTTGACATTCGGAACTCTCGGGATTTTTCATAGTAAATGCACTGAGTTAGAGTTATCTCCCCTATTTTCCTTGCTACATGGACTATACACGGAACGCATCGTTTAACCGGGTCCGTAGGACATTTATCATTTTAAGGATAGAACATTCTATCTAAGCATCACTCGAAGCTGTCGTAAGTTTTCTTTAAAAACTTCTGGGCGTCTCAGATCCAACAAACCCTCAATATAAAACATTTCCAGGAGGTTGAAATAAAGAAGGTAAAACACATTTATTTAGTTATAATTACCACTACCCATCACAAGCAAATTAAGATTTGAAGGAAAAAAAAATCTCAAGGCTGCTACTAAAATGACAGTACACAATCCATCAGTAGTTATATACAGGCAATGCAACAGATTTGTTTTAGTGCAGTTTTGATTTAAAAAAAAATTACTTTTAAAATTAGTTACCAAAAAGGTATGGAATGTCAGACATCATGTCACACACTATTCAAATTGCAATTCGAATTGTTGGGGTCATCTTTAAAATATTGTTTGTTTGTCCTCTCCCGGCCGAATGGCTAAAAATTAGCAGCCTGACTCAAAACTTTTTTTTTGAAACCAGGAAACATTTTTTTATTTAAATTAATTCCGGAATTTTCTCATCGCGTAAACAGCTTTTTTTTTCTTTTTTTTTTTTTTTCCAAATTTCACTAATATCTTCAATTTTAAATGTTTTTGAAAATTAAGGATAGATGTTGAATTTTTTTGCATGAAAAAGAAAATTACCTTATTCCTACTTACTGAACCGTTTTTCTATTATGAGTCGGGAGAGGAACATTCCAATCACGTTGATTGTTGATGAAACGGAGATAACGAACCCTAAGAAATTCAAAAGTCCATTTTAACATAACAAACCGGGTGCAGAAGAAAAAAAATATTACTTGCACAATTTGACTATCCTTACATTAGTCCTTTATTTACATACTAAATTTGAAAACAAAAGATTTCGATTATCTGATTTAAATATTAGGCTCACTGCAGATGTGACCAGTCGACAGGGGATGCTTACTCCTCCCATTCAATTTAATCCCACCTCTGGAATTTCTGTGTTCCACTCATTCTACAGATTTTTATTGTTTATAGTTATTTTTAAACAATTGCTGTCCATTATTTTATCTTTCTTTTTATTTCAAGGGAAATGCCTCTTTTTTAGTTGGTTGGTGTGGAGATAAAATCTTCAGAATGTCTTTTTTGCATTGAAAAACAGAAAATCACAGTGGACAGTGCCTGATTTTAAACTTTTAAAAATGTTTTATGAAATAAAGTATTTTTAAGTAAAAAATGCTCAAAGTCCTACTTCACCTCCCCGTGACGAGCAGGGGTAAAAGGTCTTATGCATGTCTATGTTGTACTGTATACGCATAAGACGCTGGCTAACGAAAGACGCAATGTAACGGTAATATATACTGTTAAATGTAGCGGTAATGTATCCTTTTTTGTAGCGGTAATGTGCATGTAGCAGTAATGAAAATTTTGAAAATGTAGCGGTAATGATACGCACCCATTTTTTCAACTTTGGAAAAAGAAACAAGTCGAAGGGTGAAAAATCTTGCGAATTTGTAGTTTTGATAAAACATAAACTTTCTGTTTCTCAAAATCTCCTTTACAATTTTTGACTTGTGGATTGGGGTGATGTCATGAGAAAACAAATGTAGCAGTTGCCAGATTCTGGTTCCTTCCTCTCATAAATCTTTTGATCTTATTGCAATACTTGTTCTATGTAGACTCGTCCGGAAATCGTGTGGTCTTCCCGAATAGGAATCCGAACCACAGGACCACCACTACTGAAGAAAATGGCAAATAAAACTTTCCTTGTGCTCTTGCATCTCTATGCTCTTCCCGTGCGTTTGCCTTCTGGTCAACCACTTCTTGTTGTAATTTTTTCTTTAGGGTTCAAAGTAATGGATTCGGGTTTCATTTCCGACAAACGTGTATAACCACAATTATTTAATTTTTTTTTCAAAAAAATTTTTGTTCATTCTTACACGCTGTCGTTTTTACACACTTGTCAAAACGTATATGGTAACCATCGCGTTCTAAGCTTTTTCAGTATCAAATATATCTTTAAACAGATCAAACTACCCCCCCCCCCTTAAAAAAATATGCCTACTAAATTTGCTATGCGTTTAACAATCATTCAGACCTCATCAGTGATTAGTTGTTGAATTTCAGCAAACATTTCATCGATAGTTGTCAGTCTTGGTCGCCAAGGACGGTAATCATCTTTGATGCCCATGTTATCATTTTTGATCATTGCAATATACCTTCTCATTTGTCTATAAAACAAACATTGGTTGCTGTAAACATCACATATTTCAGTGAATATTTCTCTGGGATTCTTACTTAGTTTTACAGCAGCTTTAATGTGGCTTCTAACTTCAATCTTGTTTACTCATTCTTTACAATTCATTCACCAGAATGGTTGAGAATGAATGAGAATGGTTGTTTTCAATAGACCAAGCCCAATGTTGACATTACGTTGGTCTTTCTCTCAGTTTATGCATTGGTCAGTTCCCTTAATTCCAGGCTATGAAAATGCTGCAATTGACATCATTGCAAAGAGGGTTTTTTCCATACCAGATATAAACGTTAAAAAATACTACATAAGTTTATTTCATTCAAAATTGATTTCTCTTACGTATATAACTTAATTACCCCTTTCCTACTAGTACATATAATAATGCATGCAGATTTTGAGGAATGTGTGTTATTTTTTTGGCTATAATTTGCTTAGCTTCAAAATTATGCTTATATATATTAACAAAATTCTTTGACAATACAGAGAACTTTATAAATTACACATATAACTTATACATTTAAATTTTAAGGAATAAGATGGTCCATATTCTCATTTTCGTGTTCCAAAACGGACAAAGGCTTGTTAAATTAAGATTCGATTGCACAGTGTTTGGGAAACAGAGCCTATTAGGATGCCCGTTTGATGCAAAACCGACCAGTCATCTGCTGAGCAAGTGAATTTTACAACTGATTTAATATTTGGACATAAAAGGTAAGGTCATGATTTAATAGTAGACATTAACATTAAGCAGGTTAATTAAGGCAACACGTACCCAAATAATATTTCCGGTCTACTCCGTGTACTTGAACTACAAATAGGGCGCACGGATGAAGTGATTAGTCGATAGGGGATGCTTACTCCTCCTTGAAACCTGATTCAACTTCTGAAAACCGTTCACGGTAGCTCAGTCGATAGAGCGCTCGCTCCGTGATCGGAAGGTTGTGAGTTCGAATCTCGGCCGCGACTGACCTAAGTCGATAAAAAATGGGTAGCAACTGTTCCTTCGCCATGCGCTCGGCACTTTGAAGTGAAAGTTGCGGGTCCTTCGGATGAGACCTTAAAAACCGAGGCCCCGTGTCACGGCAGGCGTTGGCACGATAAAGATCCCTCAATGCTCAATGGCCGTAAGTGCCGAGTAAAGGTCAAAATTTGAAGCCCTTCACTGGTATATGGTGACGTCTCTATATGAGTGAAAAATTCTCGAATGGGACATTAAACAACAATCAATCAAACAACTTCTGATGTTTCTTGGGGCGCGCAAGTGATCATCATCTTGACAAGTAAAATATTTTCTTCGTTAAAAAACCTCATGTTGATATATGATGTGTATCTTAAAGTGCATATGTGCAAAGGCTACTTCCTACTTGTATACCAATTTTGTTTTGAATTCTTCCATATTCTCTCATTAGAGGTTGTTTGACACTAGGTATCCATGTATTGTTCAGGCAAAAAATCGTGCATTTTGAAGGAGGATAAAGCTGGAAATATACTTTTCTTTGGAAACATCTGCAGTGGATTCGTTCTTATCTTATTTAATTATTAAAAGCTTTGTATATTATATTTTATTTTATTTTTTTTGGCTCTCTCTCTCTCTCTTTATCTCTCTCTCTATAGGTATGGGGGATGGGGTTATGTGTGAGTGGTGTGTGGGTGTGTAAGAATATATGTAGCAGTTATCTGTCTGTGTCTGACTACAGACGACTTGGCATATACACATCTTAAATGCTTGAGTGTATGCTTGTGTGGCCGTCTTCAAAATTACTAATATGTTGATGTGCTGGACTTTACACGCCATGAAAAAGACGTACCTGTTGCTATGCTAGATGCCTGAGCGTATTCATATGTGTCCAGCTTCATACACTTTTCTAACTGTACCCGAATTTCCACGTATGTAATAAATTTATTTGTGGTGAATGCAAGTGTATACCTGTTTCAAACTTTATAGCTTTGTATTCTCTAATCTACAAGATTGTGGAAATTCAATTACTGATATACTGTATGTATTCTAAAGAAATGGAAAAAAAAAACATAATGAGTTTCATACTCAATACCAAAATGAAAATCATTTTAAACGGTCGTCCATTCGACAATTGCTAAACCCGTACTTTGCATAAGGACATGTTGTGTTCCAGTTTTTCATAGCATTTTAGTAAATCAAATAGTGGTTATTTTAATGGTTATTTTGCACACAAGTGAATGTTGGTGAAACCAAACAGCATATAAATTTGTAGCTTTTCCTGGTACATAAACATTGTAAATAGAAATATAAATGATTAAAATTAAATCTTTAAATGACTCCTTCATCCGAGCGGTAATTTTGCAGTAAACGATTTTTTTTTTTCACGTCCATCTTGCTACTAGTTACAAGTGATAAATGTCTTTAAAACGTTACAAAATGCAAGTCGTTTGATAGTGGTTATGCATTATCTCCAAAAAATAGCGTCTATAATTAGCATGTGTTTATCATAGGAAAGATCCGTCTTTAATGTCATTTATGCTAGCTTGGATAATTATACAATATAGCAAAATAAAACAGAAGCTGATCAAAATTTAATCATTCCTTGCGGTCACGCACCAAAGAGACGGCGAGTAAAGGAGTAAAATTCCCTGACACTTTAAAAAGATATCACCTATCCATAATTTATAATTATGTAAATAACTATATTTTTGTATATTTTTAAAATTTATTTTTCATTTTCAAAATTATTAAAATAAAATAATAATAATAAAAAAAAGATTTTTTTCTTCTTTGCCTTCTTATTAGTCCCCTACCGGTGAAACCAGAGGGAACTATAGGTTTCCTCTGAGTCTGTCCGTCCGTCTGTCCGTCCGTCTGTCTGTCTAGCTGTCCCTCTGTCTGTCTGTCTGTCTGTCAATCAGTCCCACTTGGTTTTCCGCATTTTTTTTCTAAACGCTTGCAGATATTGAGCTGATTTTTGGTATGTGAGTGTATCTTGATGAGTTATAGATCAAGTTTGTATTTCGTCCCACTTCATTGATTTTTGACAGAATTATTACGTTTTCAATTTTTAACGGGAACCAGATTACACTTGCCGGTAGTGGACAAGTATTGCTAATGCAATACTCTCAGAATGCTTGTTTGATATAAACATGTACAAGCTTTGAGAAGTATTTTTGATTCGTTTATTTAGACAATTAATTTAAACGGAAGATTTCGGTCGGAACCAAGGTGTCCGATTAACGAGGCGCCACTGTATATTTCAATCTATCCATGGAATAATTTAATCTTCTGTTCGATTATAACTGCCATCACTCCCTATGACAATAGCGTTCTGAAAGATAAAGGGGGCAGAGGAAAGTAAGTGATACTAAAGATTTATTAAAAAATTATCTGTTAAACAAAGGATTTGTGAAATTTTCAATATCTAATGTTCCATGACTACAAGAAATTTAGCCAGGGAAATGTAGATTACTCTCTTTTGAATTCAGAATATATTCCATCTATTCACTTCAACTATTTAATACGAATCTCAAAAAAGAAAAAAAAAATCGTAATGGACTATCAGAGAAACTAAATTATTTCATCTTCCCCTGAATATTCATAAATACATGTATTATATTTGGATCAAAAAGATTTAGCATATTCTTATAAACAGTATGATGTAGCCTTGTTACTAGATTTTTATTCTGAATGCAATATAATCCTCTTGAGTTCTAACAGAAATAGTTTTGTTTCCATGAATTATTTTTTTTTTTTTAGTATTAAGCTCTTTTTTTTTCTTGATAAAATTACCTCAATTAAGTCAACAGTACTGTTTTGCAAAATTATTCTATCTGTAATTGGTAAAGGTATTCCATTTCTTCCGAGCTCTTAAATATAGTAAAGCATATTTTCAGAACTCTCCTTAAGTTAAAATTCTTTATGCAAAATCAGTATAAGGGTTTTAACTTTATTTCAAAAATCATTAAAAAAAAAAAAAAAAAAAAAAAAAAAAAACATCAAATTATACCGTTAAGAACTGGTTCTACTGTTGTCACCACTGCACTCGTTAATATGAAGTTCACTGTCTGAATCTAAAGGATATAAATGAATTAATCAAGCATGAGGAACAATTTGATGTAAGCAACATTTCATTTTATTTTGTATTTTCAGCATAATTCAAAATATCTTTTCGTAAAGACAATCACTTGTTATGAATAATTTGTTGTCTGAAAGTACTTTCACTCCGTAGAATGATAATTTACTCTGTGAAGATCTTTATAAAGGAAGAAAAAGATATACCCTTTAAAATACTTCATAATTATGTCTCTTCCGTTTTGCACAAATGCTCAACCCCCCCCCCCCCCCCCGAAAGCGCAATACTGTATCCCTTCCACCTCCGTTGAGAGGGGATATTAAACCTATTAAATGATCAAAGTGATATTGTTTAATCTTTGCATAAATGTATATAAAGAAAATGATTGTTTCAAGGGAGAAAAAAATGTTCTTTTGCATTTCCAGAACAAAGTTCCGATGGTATGTTTCTGAACACTATATAGGTAATCGTCATATATCATGAGATAAAAAGAAAGGGCGAACATGTTAACTAAAATAGAGTTCGGTGAACACTGCCCGCATTAGCTAGATAAAGCAACAAAAACAATATGTGAGCCTGAAAAAAAATCACTTTTTAAACTTGGAACGATATCAGGATATTTGAGTCACGATACAATAGGTATCATTATATTTTAAATAGGGTATAAAGTTAACAACAGAACCGATATACAGCTTCTTATGACTTAACCTTTATTCGTGAAGAATTTCATATAATATATTCATATTACATATTCATATATTTGTTATTTAAACTATTTATTTTAATCCCAAAACGTTAAGTGTAAAAAAAAGTCTGAATTTTGTTTTCCGTCAAGACATTGCCAAACAAGTGTCACCATCACAAAACAATCGAAAATTAAATTGTCCAGGTCTTATCCTTTACAGAAAATGAATTCAAGTATAAAAAGGACGCAAATGTCTTGTAGTCTTCATTCTTAACAAAAAAATATACAGAAATAATCATCTATTGGTCAGAACAGGGTCAGATATGGTTATTAGATTTTTTTATTAAAACAAATATTAATGTGATTTTTGTTTACATGCAACATCTCGTGTAATGCATTATTATATCGAGATTAATGAATGGTTTCTGTTATAAGAATTTTTTTTATTATCCTCCCATCATATTTTCGTCTAATGTTATATTAAACCACAAAGCTATGAAATATTGCAGGATTAAGGACCGTATTACTGAACATTTTTATCATCAGTTGTTCTTAATATAAACTTACATCAAAGCCTTCGACAGTTGACTCCATCTTTTTTAGATATGGTCTATATAAAAAAAAACTTTCATATTTATTACACATAAAAGGAATCAATAAAAGAAATTTAAGATTTAATAAAGATTGAGTCATAATAATCAATCGATCTTAATAAATATCGAGTTAAAAAGTCTTTTTTTATGTTAAAGTTTACACAGAAGGCTTAAGGTATTCAAAATTGTGTACCAGTGTGGTTCAAGATTCAAGATTCAAGATATATGCATATGCATGCAACTGAATGAATGGAGTATGAAAGATGAATGTGTGTAAAAAAAAATAACCTCATGTTACATTAAGGTATATGTAAAAAAAAAAAAAATACTATGTTAAATTAACTTATAGATTCCAAGGCTCCCCAACCCTGGCTATAAGGACGCAAATATATGTACTGGGGTAATGAAAAAAAAATATTTATTTTAAAAAAAAAAAAAAAGATTCAAGATTTTCAATATGTTTTTGTTATTCAACAAAACATGTTAAATGATCCATTTAATAGGGCTGCAAAAAGGGAAATATTATAATAGCCTATTCTTTCCATGTAAATTTGAACCAAAAAATCTAACTTTTCCAACGTTTTTCCTGAGGGGGACAAAAGAAAATCGACGTTGAACTGCTGAGTGAGATATTGGTCCTCTCTATGAGATATTGGTCCTCTCTATGAGAAATTGGTCCTCTCTATGAGATATTGGACCTCTCTATGAGATATTGGTCCTCTCTATGAGATATTGGTCCTCTCTATGAGATATTGGTCCCTATGAGATATTGGTCCTCTCTATGAGATATTGGTCCTCTCTATGAGATATTGGACCTCTCTATGAGATACTGGTCCTCTCTATGAGATATTGGTCCTCTCTATGAGATATTAGTCCTCTCTATGAGATATTGGACCTCTCTATGAGATATTGGACCTCTCTATGAGATATTGGTCCTCTCTATGAGATATTGGACCTCCCTATGAGATACTGGTCCTCTCTATGAGATGTTGGTCCTCTCTATGAGATATTGGTCCTCTCTATGAGATATTGGACCTCTCTATGAGATATTGGTCCTCTCTATGAGATATTGGTCCTCTTTCTGAGATATTGGACCTCTCTATGAGATATTGGTCCTCTCTATGAGATGTTGGTCCTCTCTAAGAGATATTGGACCTCTCTATGAGATACTGGTCCTCTCTATGAGATATTGGTCCTCTCAATGAGATATTGGTCCTCTCTATGAGATATTGGTCCTCTCTATGAGATATTGGTCCTCTTTATGAGATATTGGACCTCTCTATGAGATATTGGTCCTCTCTATGAGATATCTCTCTATGAGATATTGGACCTCTCTATGAGATATTGGTCCTCTCTATGAGATATTGGACCTCTCTATGAGATATTGGACCTCTCTATGAGATATTGTCCTCTCTGTGAGATATTGGACCTCTCTATGAGATATTGGTCCTCTCTATGAGATATTGGACCTCTCTATGAGATATTGGTCCTCTCTATGAGATATTGGACCTCTCTATGAGATATTGGTCCTCTCTATGAGATACTGGTCCTCTCTATGAGATACTGGTCCTCTCTATGAGATATTGGTCCTCTCTATGAGATATTGGACTCTCTATGAGATATTGGTCCTCTCTATGAGATATTGGTCCTCTCTATGAGATATTGGTCCTCTCTATGAGATATTGGTCCTCTCTATGAGATATTGGACCGCTATGACTTTTTTACGTTACATTGTAGCGACATCTTACATGCATTCGCTGGTGTTCCACATTTCCACATTGCATACATGGATGTCAGCGTAAGGCAAGTCAAAATAAATAGTTAAAGGTATATTGAAACATTCATTGACTGTGTGCTTGTGCAAAATGCATTTTATTGAGTTTTAACCATTTATAATCATTTTAACCAAACTGTTTGGATTTGACCTAACAGCCCAAGGCAAAGAGTGTGATATTACTTTCAAACATAGTCATCAAATGTATAATGTCACATAAAATTCTGACGTGACTACCGTAATCATAGAACTTGCTGTTTTCAACATCTTTAAATTGTACACGTAATTTGTATAATGGCATCCTTTCATTTTGTGGACAATTTGTAAAAACTGAATGTTGTTATTTTTACCGTCAGAAGACAGACGCATGAATATGAGTAGGCTTTAAGATGACGTTTTCGTTTTATGCCGTGTCGTCAGTATTTGAGCGATATTTTGGGTGGTCCTTAACCGAGTATAAAATCCAAGAATCAAAATTATATGAAATGAAAAACAAATTTTAAAGGGAGTTTAAGTAATAAGTTATGAAATTATTGTTACTTCATTAAATACATCCTCATAAACTGCATATTATCTATTAATCTAACACTTACTCAAACGCAACGATGTTTCCTTGAAAAAGTGAACCATTCATAAAGACTTTGATTCGTATATCAACACTCTACAAAAGGAATTCCTTATCTTAATATACATAATGTACTGAATATAGATCATGGCATTATATGTCAAATATTTTTTCATCTTAAGTTATTTTCTGAGACTATTGAATGCATTTCAGTTTTAGTAATGTTGGTCGGAGTTTTGAAAAGAAGCATTAATCTATTATATATATATATATATATATATATATATATATATATATATATATATATATATATATATATATATATATATATATATATATATATATATATATATATATATATATATATATTTACTATTGCTATTATTTATTTTTTAAAAACCTTCATGAATGCCTGTTACTTACTCCATCCAATTTGGCAATTGGTATTGAAGTACTACGTGCTGGATGCCGAATGTATACAAACATTACTGTATAGAACGTCAAGACCGCCAAATTCTTCTCAAATGTCACGTTTGGGGTCTCCACACTGTAGATGTCCAAGTCCATATATTGATTGGGATATTTCTCTTCGAGCTTTGAGAAAAATACATTTTGAATTCCTTCATTATAGAAACAAAGTGTTCAAAGACTAATGTCCCTCTGATAAGACTGAAAAGTTCTAAAGACTATAAGTCCAAAAATATTCGGAAATCGTTTTATAGGGTTTTATTGTATTTTTTCTTAAAAAAAAAAAGATTTAAAAAAACATAAATGTTGCTACCTGAGCTGAAAACTAAAGTGAGCTTTTCTGATCACATTTAATCCGTCGTCCGTCTGTCAGTTTCTCTGTCTGTCTGCCCGTCTGTTAACGTTGCAGATTTTCGACTACTTCTGCAGAACAACTGGGCCAACCTAAATCAAATTTGCCACAGAGCATGATGATAGGGATTCAAGGCTTTCTTTTTTCAAATCAATGGCCATACCCTCTTTCAGGAGAGATAATTGAGAATTATTGAAACTTTTGTTTTATCGTTTATTAATCTTTTTCCCAAGAACCACTGAGCCATAAAAGTTGAATCGTACATGGAAGCATCCTCAAGTAGTGTGAGTTTAAGTTTGACCCCCTAGGGTAGGGTGGGCTCACCATTGGGGATGAAAGTCATATATAGAAATATATAGGACAAAATCTTCTCATGATTAGTCATATTAATATGGAAACATCCTCAGGTAGTGTAGATTCAAATTTGTTAGATCATGACCCCCAGGAATTGGGTGGGTCCACAATGGGGGATCAAAGCAAATTCATGATTAATCATATTAAATTTGAAGCATCTTCAGGTAGTATAGATTCAAGTTTGTTCAAATCATGACCCTCAGGGGTTGTTTGGGGCAACAATGGGGGGTCAATGTTTTACATAGGAATATATAGGGATTGATTGTTTGACTGTATATTGTTTTGCCTCCTGTTCGTGAATTATTCACTCATACAGAGACGTCACCATTTACCGGTGAAGGGTCTCAAATCTAGACCTTTACTCGACACTCAGGGTCACTGAGCAGTGAGGGTTCTTTATCGTGCCAACGTGACATGTTGCCTCGGGTTTTGAGGACTCATCCGAAAGACCCGGAACTTTCACTTCATACGGCCGAGCACTTGGCGAAGGAACAGTTGCTACATATTTTTGTCGACTAAAGTCAGTCGTGGCCGTGATTCAAACGCACATTACGATCACAAAGCGTACGCTCTACCCTCTGAGATACCGTGACGGCGGAATATATAGCGAAAATTTTTTAAAATCTTTTTCTCAAGAAAAGCAAAACCATGATTAATCATATTAATATGGAGGTATCCTCAGGTAATATAGATTAATGTTTGTTCAATTCATGGCATCCGGGGATAAGATGGGGCCCCCATGGGGGATCAAAGTTTTCATTGGTATGTATAAAAAAAATCAAAAATCTTTTTTTTTAAGAACAACAAAACCATGATAAGTCATATTATGGAAGCGTCCTCAGGTAGTTTAAGTTAAAGTTTGTTCAAATCGTCCTAAGTTAGCTAAGGTTAGGTATAGGCGTTTTTATGCAAATGAGCTAATAAAAATGCATTAGATGTACATCTCTTATACAGAGAATTCTAAATTTATTTTCCTACGCAGGTATGTTAAGGCAGTACCCAGATCATATTTCGGCGAATTTAGACTTTTATCGTAAAATGTAACATTGATAAATCGGAAAAGCCATAGATAAAACATTTACTTTAATTATCCATTGTATAGACGTCATTGAGTTTTAGGCTAAAAGAAGCACTCCACTACGACGTCATCACGTGACGTCTATAAATAGAAAAATTGCCTTTATGAAAAAGTAAAAAGTTCAACACTACCCCGGGGATAATTTAATTCTTTTTGTGAAAATAATTATGTAAAAACATTACTGGGTCATGAAAAGTGCTGCTAGAATCCTACTCTCCCGACACATAAAAAATTATTCCAAAGTTTCGAATGAAACCTTAGCAAAATTATTACATTTTGTACAAACGGTTCAAGGAATTCTCATCAATTCATGTTATTCACACGATTCTAGCAGCACTTCCCAAGTACTATAGAATACAAGCTTTCGATGCAAACAAAAATTATGTCTCAAAGTATGCGGCGTAGTGTTGAACTTTTGCAACTTTGTTGTTATAGAACGACAGAGGAAAGGCTGATCGGGATTTTAAAGCACTGCCTCTGTTCATTATAAGAAAACATGATTAGAATATATCAGCGTACCTGATTCTTAATCTTTAATTCCTTATGAATCACACATAACATTCATGTCATATGCTTTAAAACTCCCATTTTACATACTTGTTTACATGAATTCTCGTCACGTTTAATTTTCACTCGGCTAATATTTGATCAATAGTTATGACGTCATGGGTTTGGTAATTATCCCCCGTGATAAATACTTAGCTGTTTATGCCACCCAAAAACGACATGATTTTGTTTATATTATGTTTTTGAATGATTCCATTCATTTCTTGGACCTGAAATTAAACTTTAAATATAGATATTTAGAAATCATTATTTCTGAACTTCACGTCATACAGCTTACTATGACGTCGTCTTGTAGAGGCAAGTAGTATATCTCTGGGTGTAGCCTTAACATACCCGCGTATACAAATTTTAGTACCCACCAAAAATGTTAAAGCCAATGCATTATGAGGTCATATTATGACGTCATTTATCTTTACCACTGCGGGTAAAAACACATGAACAAAATAGCGTTAGAGCAAGGGCATATCCTATTTAATTTAAATAAATCATGTATTATATGAAAAAGAATATTCTAAAAATCACTAAAAATGCTGCACAAATCCTACGCACTTTCTCATTTGATAAAAAATTGAGGACACTTACACCGGACTGTGAATTTTTACCGTTTCAACTAAAAATTTTCGAAAAGTAGTAATGGCACTGCAGATATTTGTGCAGCAATATCAATAATTCTTGGAATATCCTGCATCTATGTATCCCTTGTTTCTATAAAACAAAATAAGGTATGCTTTTGCGCCGAAGCTATTTTGTTGTTCTTCTTTAAGAAATTGTGTAGTAGAGAACGATGACGTCATAATATGACATCATAATGTGTACTAGGTATCACATAGCGTGGGTACCAAGTTTGTGTTAGAAAACATATTTTAACTTATTCCGTACGATAGGTATTGTCCTTATACGTTTTAATTAGTTCATTTGCATAATAACGACTATACTTTGGGTGCCACAGTGCACTGTCAGGGTTTAACATATGGATGTATAGAAAAAAAAAATCTATTTTGTTAAAAACAGCAAAGTCATGGTTAGTCACATTGATAAAAAAGTAAGGTAGTGTATTCAAGTTTGTTCAAATCATGAGACTGAAGTTTAGGGTGAGCTACATTTATAAAAATCATGGTATCTTGAGTTAGAGTGGGGTCAAAATAAGGATAAAAGATTTACATCAGAATATAATATGTAAAAAAAAAATCTGCTGATAAAGAACAACAGAGAGATATTGCCATATTGACTCAGGTGAGCACGGTGGCCTCTTGTTTGTTACAATTATGGATAAACAACATGATATTAAGCATCCTTTTATTATGTTTTCTAAATGAATCTAATATGTACGACACTAAATAGTAACCATTTATATATACCTCATATTTTTAATTTAATGTTGTGATGATAATTTAACGCTTTTTTTTAACTTTTCAAATTTTCTCCATAGCATTATTAGGCTTAAAATTAATTTCAGTAAGAGTAAGCCCCGCTTGACTATTCAAAGTTTTCTCCTTTTGAATCTAATGGGTTTTTTTTTTTTATAAAATACATATTTGAAATTCTAATTTCTTTATCGATGAAATTTTTAACAAAGAGACTTTAGATCTTAATTAAAAAGAAAATACAGGATACTTATGGACCTGAAAATGCAGAGACACATTTTCACAGAAGTACACTACTTAATACAATCGTTTAAATCAATATCTTCTTTAAATGATATGAAGAATAATAATGATCAAAAAAGGCATGGATTTATTTTTTTGTAAAACTAAAGAAGCTTTTATAAAAATTAACAACTTTACACGAACCTCTGGTACTAGGCGTCCGACACAAACACCCTCGGCACACGAAGTATTCAATCCCGGATTTCCAGGAAAAAGCTGAGAAAGGAAAACAAATAATATCAATGAAAAGTTGAAAATATATCTCATAAATTTCCCAATCCTTTAAAACTTTCGAAAGTTTCAATCTACATACTAGTATTTTATCCTTATGTATCATGAAAGCATAAAAATCTTAATCATTTTGTTGGAATTCTCAAATGCTACATGTACCCAATTACCTTCTATGAAAATATTTGGACATTATTTTTCCCACCACAAAGATAAAATAGGTGAGTATATATATTTTCAACTGTAAACTTGCTAAATTTGGAAGGAAATTTAGGTTAACTTTGTGTTTTAGCTCACCTGAGCTGAAAGCTTACTTGAGCTTTTCTGATCAACTGTTCTCCGTCGTCTATCTGTCTATCCGCCTTTCCGTCCGTCTAAGTATTCAAGAACCACTGGGTCACATTTAACCAAAATCGGTATAAAATATCATTACGTACATATATATGGGAGTTTAATTAAAAAAAAATGAAGATTAATTTTCAAGCCCCATTACAAGAGAAGATAATCAAAAAAAAAAAGACCAAATAAGGTGGGGCTACAGAATTTTTAAACTCAAGAACCAATCGGCTAGAAAAGCTGAGACTTACGTGGTAGCTTCCCGAGGTAGGATAAACTCCAAGTTATTCAAATCATGGCCCCCAGGGGTAGGCTGGGGTCACAATAGGAAATCAAAATTTTAAAATGAAATACATAGGAAAAATCTTTAAAAATTTTCTTTTTTAGAGCCACTCTGCAAGAAAAGCTGAAACTCACGTGAAGGCCTCCTTGAGAAGTGTTGGTTTAAAATTGTGCAAATCATAATTCCCGGGGTATATGTAAGAGTCGGGCCACAAAAAGGAATCCAAGTTTTACAATGAAGAAGAGTGTATTGTTTTCTTTTAAAAAAAAAAAAAAAAAAAAAAAAAAGTCTCCCCTTCTCCAACAACATTAAAGAGTGCAATAATACGACCAGGGTAAAAAATAATAATGCAGTGCATCTGAGCTCAAATTCCTCCATCTGTGTATAAAACTTCAAGTCTTCATGTCAAAAGGATCTTACGGAAAACTGAAATTTTTATTCCCCTTGCTTGGGACTGAAATGGGCTGCGGATGAGACCTCGGAAAAGTCAAAATTCAGGGGGTGCATTTTCGTTGCTTGTTAACTCTTATATGTAGATTATATGCTAAATTGTGACATGCTATGTTTCTCAGTTTGTTTGATCTATGGATATGCAATCAATCCCCCCCCCCCCGAAACTGTCCCATTTATAGAATCTGTTTTCATGTATATGTCTATCCATTCGGCACATGTTTGGTATTAAAGATGCTCTCGACCACCCTTCCCTTGAATAAGGTTTATTCGTTCATCGGTTCGAGTGAGTCTGACTGCTACGTAATTTGAATCGTTTATTAGTTCATTGAGTTCTGCACATTCTGTGTCATTACGTAGGCTCAATGTTTGACAACTGAATATTACATTTTCTCGATCACTGCTTTTTAAAGGCACACTCATTCCTGATGAATTGGTTCTGATAATATTTGCTTCTCAATTTATGGATTTATCTAAATTTAAAGAAATGGTTATTAAAGTAAATAAGACAGTTTCGTGAAGAGAGGATTATTTCAGTGTAAATAAAGTGACATTCTCACTTAATATTTGTAATGACCAAATATGTTTTTCCTCCCCTATAAAAGATATATTAACTGAGTATCAAAAGCTTTTCGCCATCTTAGCTCTAAGACTTACATCCATTGATCTCTTAACAGCTATTTTTGCTTTTGCTGTGATTTTTTAATAAAATTACAGTGGATGCAACGTTATTGTTGACACACCAATCGTGCAGGCTCGTTCTTGTAACATGCGTGATCATTCGTGTAACGTGCGAGATCGTGCTTGAGTCGGGTTCAATCGTTTGCGGTTTTAAAGGGGCGTGATCGTGCCGTAAGAACCGTACAAATTTCGTTTTGTTAATTTTTTGAGGAATGAAAATCGTTAAATATTAAAGTTTTTTTAATCAATACAATATCGCTAATCAATAGATACCTCAAAAAAGTAAATCTTCTCCCTCCTGAAACTTTATCATAAAATCCAAGTGATTCTAAACTCACGAGGTCCACTTCTATCCGACAATCAATCAGAGAGTACTTCTTAATAACACATCGAACAGTTCAAAAATATTTTCAAGTTTATCTGTCGGAAAACTATGAATTATTTAAATAGATATTTGTTATCTAATATAACCGTTCAGTATTACTTCGTTTCGAAAATGTATATTCCTTAACATTTTTAACTATTTTGCGTGTAGAATCGTGCGTTTGCGTTAGCAATCGTGATCGTTTGTGTAACGTATAGAATCGTGTGCGTGAAGGATCGTTCGTGTAACGTGTTTAATCGTGCGGGATCGTTAGTGTAAGGTGATCGTTCATGTAAGTTGTCAACAATAAAGCTGCAGCCACTGTGTGAACTTTCAAAAAAGAAGTCTTCTTAATCCAAACACATTGCATTATTATGTTATAAAGTGTACTATAATTATCAGTATCCAAACTGTTTATCTTGAGGATAAAGCACATCATAAACATGACTGATAGATGTTATTTGACCAAAAAAAAAAAAAAAAAAAAAAAAAAAAAAAAAAAAATCTCGGATTTTAAGCTCCGAAAATTAAAGTAAATGTAGGCATTTCAGAGTTTATAAATCAATATAAAAGAAGAAAAAATATTTAAAAAAATAACATTGTTAAGAAATCTGAAGAAGACATTTGTTGCAAACCAATTAAAATGCAGTGTTTGGGCTGAAAACACTAACCTTCTCAGGGGTGATTTTATAGTGGAGCATTCCATGTCTTTGAATACCTTCGAATAAAGATCGAACTGCATCTTTAGAAATCCAGATGTACACCATTTTTGATGATTCATTATGCAGAGTATAATGAACTGTTTGATTTTTACTTAAATTCTCCATAGTCGGAAACCATAATACTTCACCCTAGAATGTATTAAAAAGATGTTTTTTTTTTTGTTTTTGTTTTTGTTTTTGTTTTTTTTTTGTTTTTGTTTTTGTTTTTTTGTTTTTGTTTTTGTTTTTTTTTTTTGAATGGAATAAAATTAAGTTTGGTTTAAATACTGGTATTAAAACAAAGGAGTTCTGATTTCAACCCTGCCTCATTTCATATTTGAAAACTGTTCATTCTTAGAAAAGAAATAAAGATTTAAAAAAAAAAAAAAAAAAAAAAAAAAAAACTTTAAACGAAAGTATCACTTTGATCGTTCCATTTTATCTTTTATCTTATCTGTCTTTGATACTTCCTAAGAAAGGTGTAAGGGTTTATAAATTTTGGAGCAATAACACATTTATATGGAAAAATAAATCTATTCGTTGAACAAACTGATTTTTTTTTTTACCAACAATCTTGTGTCAATAGGCATTTTTTAAAATTACTTATGATTGAAAAAAAATCAAACAGACATACTTTTGTACATGTACATTATACACATATTAGTTTGGAAAGCACTTTCAAGAAGAAAAAAGTAAATTAACTAGGACATTTATTAACTTGTATACATGTAATATAAAATAGTCCTATAAATTATATACGCTATTTGGAATAATTATTTCTTCAGACACGTTAAAATCCTTCAAACGGGATATTTTCATCTTAAACTCTTAAATGTGCAGTATATTTCAAGGTGATATCTTCTCAAAGTTATATCAAAAGACTTTTTGGAATATCGAGGAATTTTGAGAAACTACAATTTTACCTTATGATAAGTATTCAGAAATGAGGATTCATAGTTTGGTTGTTGCTGCATCAGAAGGTTCGCGAGAAATGGAGTTTGTCCTATCCTTGGAGTCACTATAATAACAAAATAGAATAAGATACCTTGTTCATTTCATAGTCGATAGATATAATATCATCTAAAGCTATTCAGACGTCGCAGCTTTCTCGGCATGTTGTTAAGGATAAATAACACAAACAAACTTTTTTTTCCAGAAATCAGCAATATTTATCATAGATTTATATTCAAATAAGTAACCTGAATGATGTTTACCAGGTAAAGTTGGAGAACTTTGTAAGATTTTTTCACAATGTTAAAAATACGTTCAAAATTCTGTATAGAATTATTTAGAAAACAAAACAAAGTCGCATATTTAAGCACCAAAGAAAACTTACGATTTCTTTATATTTTAGGGATTTATTATTTATATCATTTCTATTCAAAGTCAGTCAAAAAATATATATCAATCCGGGCATCAAATTTTTCGTTGTGTTATATATTCTTAAATGTTGATCATGAATTATCTGGATTTCAGTTCATACAAAATTTACAAATTTACTACCACTCAGGGTTAATTATAAATTTATAACACGACACTCTTACATATCTTCAATAAGAAAATACGTACAAATAATTGTGTTCATTTCTGTACTGCCTCTCGTTAAAAGGTAGACACGTAATAACACACATAGCTGGAAAAATATAATGACATGTCCAAAAAAAAAAAATCATTGAAAAAATATCACATAATGTGAACCTTGGTGTTGCATTTGGTACTATGACAACACAATCATTTAATAATGCTTCTAAAAGATGTTTTGTTTTATGTATTTTCTGGTTATCTTCATTTAATCTTTGATGTATAAAAGCGGATATTCCTTTGTGTATTTATTGCTTGTATCACTTTGAATTTTCAAAGTAATGTTTAAGATTTTTTGATGTACATTTTATTTACAAGTATATGACTTCAAATTGTATCACTGTGACATTGTATATGCTCTGATACTTGCGATATTAAACTAGAATCAAAGGAACATTACTGCAAAATGCATATACATGTACTAATAAAAAACTTCTACCTTAGCCTGAGTAAGTCTTTCTCTTTTAAATTTGTCTTCGAGTTCCAACGTATTTGCCGCACATATGGAATCTGTAGGTTTATCACAATCTGTGTATCGTATCCTAAGATTTGGTGGGGGAATGATGCAACTGTCCTTGTCTTGTTTCAGTGACACATTAAACCTCCCTTGGTTATTAGTTCCTTCACAATTTTTTCAATTACAAAATGATTACATTTAGTTTACAATGTCATGTTTCCAGTATATAGGAAGCAAATTTATTAAGGAAAAAAAAGACCCATTTACTTTTTTATCTCGAGAGACACCACACATGTTAAAGGAATTAAGAATCTAAACATGAAAGTACATGTACATCTGTGAGGATCATGGTTAACTTATAGATACAGTAAAACTTTCTCAGAAGGAAATATATAGAGTTTTTTGTAAAGTTAAACTCGTACAATTTCTTTTTTTTTAAATCAGATTTATTGAAAGGCATAGTATAAAAACTGACCTGGTCCATTGATCTGTCTTTGATTTGATTATGACCTCTAATTTGGCTCCAAACCAAATTTGACCTGGCCTAAAACAATACTGAGCCCAAAATTTGGCTTCTGCAAAATAAGAAAAGAACCCTACTGCACTATGTCAATTACGTTCGTATGAAAGGTTTTTGGTTGATGGTTCTTATTACTTTAAGTACATAAAAAGGTCCATCTCGTTAGGAAATCATTTTTAAATAAAGTATTACCCATTAACGCTTAAAGAAAAAAAAAAATCAAAAATTCAAAATTCAAAAATCAAAATTCGTTTTAGTTCTTAGGCTATTTTTTTTAATTTTTGAGCTTATGTCTTTGATACAATGTACCAGTAAAATTTGTAACATTTTTTGACTGTATAAAATAAATTCAAAAAAAAAAAAATGCTTATGGAAATATGATTGTTGGTTAAGCCAGGACTAAGACAAAACCAAATTTGAGGTCAGGTCATCTTCTAAAGCCGGGTCAAAATTTTGGTTTGGCGCCATTTTACAGACCAGATAAACTTTGAGGCAGGTCACGCAAAATGGGTCAGAACAGGTTTTATAGAAAGTCATTATGAAGTTCATTTTTAAACTAGGTTCTATGAAACTATGATGTTCTTAACAATAGACCAAAATCATTTTGTAATTTAACGTTTTGCCTTTACCTATGATCACGAGGATATGCCCTGATCCGGTGATGGTCATCTCTATCCCACAATACTGAACATTTCTGGAGGAAAAAAGTAAACGTGCTTTATTTTTTCAAAATTTATAAATAAAATTCGATTTTGATATGACAATATTTGCCTTGTATTTAATGATTAGTTATATATTTTTTCTACTAGACTTCGTGACTTCGTATTAATGTACATGATTGTTTGACTTGGGTCAATAGACCTATAGAAAGGTTTTGTGAACATTTTAGAAAACAGACATTGCCTTTTTTTTTTCTTTTTTCTTCATTTTGGAAAGGTTAATGCCATATGCAAGGATTAATTAAATGCTTTATAGAAAGTATACACTGGATGCGTGTATCAACTAAGAAAAAAAATACGGTTAATGATTTAGACATGTACAATGAACATAAATCTGCAAAAAAAATATCATCATTAAATATTTCCTGATATTAATTCGCACAAATCTTTTTTTTCCTTTTGAAAATGATAACACCAACGTAAAATAGTCGCTATCAACGAAACCCACTTATGAAAATACATCTCGTATAAAGTTTAAATTTCCGCAACCATTGCCGTCAACAGTTTCCGGAGAAGTCTACCTGACCGATTTTTAAAAACATTCATAAAAAAAGATCCTTATGATTTCCTTTAAAACAAGATTAAGCATAAATTTAGGAGAATTTACAAAGAAAATCTAAAGGTACACGAGCAAAGCAAACCTTTTCTTGATATAATAATGCACACATCAGATGTTTATAAAATTGCATAAACTACTCTGCTCATGAATGAGATTTTATTTGGATTGATACGGATGGGGAATTACCTTTCATCTTCATCTCGACACTCCACTTCTCCACTTGCATTTACCGAAAGAGTATGGACTGTAACATTCAATCCAGCTTTTTTATTAATGAGAATAGATGCGTTCAAATTCGCATAATCTGTAAATGTCAAGCTGAAAAAAAATATTCTATTTGAGCAGCAAATATTGCGATTTTGAGAAATATTTAAAATAAAAAAAAAGAAAGCTTTCCTTGCCAGGATGCCTTCTGAAAATTAGAAATTAATATACAGAAATTAAAGGTAATTTCAAATTATTTTAAAACTCATGTTAATATATATATATATATGTATATTCACATTTTGACATGTTTTTTGAACGTCTAGATAAAGAAGAAAGTGAAAGAACATTGACAATTGTATTGTTTTTGTTATATTTTAAATAGCATAATTAAAATCAAATACTTTGTTCGGAAAAAAGGTAATTGTACCTCTGAATAGAATATTTTACATGACTTGTAGTCACGTTTGTTGTAGGTAGGCTAAATGCTGAAAGATTCAGTTTCTTAACAGATTCCAAAACTGTATTCATGGCTGAAAAGGGAAAAGACTACATAAAAAAAAATAGAAAACAAAATTGATTCAAAAAATGAGGAATATTGTGTCATATAATTTGTTGTTGTACAGGTCATGCATTTTTTAATAATTATTTTCATAATTACTCAGAATATGAATAAAATCATTGATCATTTGATTGGCATTGAGAATAATTCTTCTTACTGCTCACAAAATTTAAAAACAAAACTGAGGCCGCCATGCATACCGTAAGTTAGTCCGTTCTGTGTTAGCCTAATAACAACTCCAACGTCAGCCTCCTCTTCCTCATTAGATCTTCTGACAGAGACAATCACCAGTATCAGCATTAAAGGACCCGTGGCTCCGTAATGCTGCAAATATAATATAATATAATATATAAATATATTTACACTAAAAGATTTGCCCAACATCCTAGTTGATATGCTTACCTTCATGGAATCTTACCAATAAAAGACAGATAGTCGCCCACGTGGCGCAGTGGTTAGAGGGTTTGCGCTAGAGTTGCAGAGTAAGCAGTTAATCCTTGCGTCGCGGGTTCAAATCCACTGTGTGACACGGGGACCGGTCCCTCAGATGCGACAATTAAAAAAAAATCTGAGATTGCGTGTCGCTGGCACGCACTAAATCCCTAACTGCTCAAATGTCGTTAGAGCTGAGAATAGGCATCTCTAAGGAATGTTAAACAAACAATAAAACAAACAAACAAACAAATAAGCAACAGTTATAAGTTATAAATTATATACAACATTAGGGGGAAAGAAGTTTTGTAAGAAAATATTTCTTAGTTCTTCGACATCAATTGTAGCTTTGTTTTTCTCTTCTTAAGAACGAAGTATTGCCTTTTGTGTTATATTTCAATCAACCTGCATAATCTCTACCTTCAGAGATCCTATTCAAAGAAGAAAATGACCAGAAATGTCAAGTAAGGCAGATTATTAAATATATATTTACATGTATATAAGCATACCTTACCTTCAAATACATTATTAAACTTCCTTCATTTTTAAACAAGAGATTGGTTTTGAATTGCGTAATGCAAACTTTTTTTTTAATGGAAAGTATTTAAATCAGGAAGTTAACAACGACAATATATTTAGCTGCAAACCAGTGAGAGAGCGTGAAATAAATAAAGTCCTCTTATTTTTACTTCCTTAACGGCATAAAAATTAACCGGAAGTATTTAAAATAACGTATCCATATGAATAAGTGTAATTAAAATATATAGATATGGATGTGTTTTTATCATAATTGCTTGCATCTAGATGTGCTGGCTATTTTTACGTTATCTAGAATGGATTAAACAAATAAACAAGCAAGTGTGTTAAGGAAGCACTCAGATATTCTGACTTGACTAAATCAGTTTTACAATTTGACGTCACATTAGGCGAGATGACGTCAATTGTAGAACACAAATATTCTTGATATTGGTATTTAGAGAGGTGATTAAACTTCTGAAAAAGGAATAGAAACTTGCAAATATTAACAGAACTAAAATGTTTTTATTTTATTTTGCTGTATCTGTCACTTGGATTAAAATCTCTTACCGATGACGTCATAACTGTTCAACAAGAAATTTGAGAATTGATGATGCTGTTTAACAAGAATTTGGATGAGATGGCATGTTAAAACATACATTAAAAGTATTTTAGAGTTTGTTAAACAGATAAAGTACCAACCAGTCCCAACTTGACAGATAGCAGTCCCAGAGTAGTCCCGGGGACTGCTTTCTGGGACTGCTCTGGGTCCCAGAGCAGTCCTACAGCGGTCCCACAGCAGTCCCACAGCGGTCCCTGAGCGGTCCCAGAAACTAGTCTCAGCAGTCCCAGTAGGCTGGGCTAATAATGTAATTGGCGGATCTTAGTCATAACTGAGATTACACAGGGTATCAATGAACAATGTCAGTAATATAAAGGAAGTTGATATTTAATGATACACTTCTTTTTTGGGAGAAAAAGTGTTAGACATGTTACATATACTGCGTATTTTCAATTCTTATGTTACAGTTATTTCTGAATAATAAAAAAAATTACAGTATGTCTATGAATAAATAAATAAATAAATAAATAATAACAGAAGAAAAGAGACTTTCACGCTAATACAACTTAGTTACAATGTAAATACATCTCTAGCACATTAATTTGAAACCAAATTAAACCACTGTTTATTAAATTTTATTTATTGAAAATAGTTACCGTATTTATATGGAAGCCCGTTGAAGCCAGTTCAGAGAAAGAAATATTTTTTATTGCGTTTAAACGCAATAATTATTGCGCTTAAACGCAAAACATTGCGTTTAATCGACATAATCATTGCGTTTAAACGCAAAAGATTGCGATTAATCGCAATGTATATTGCGTTTAAACGCAAAACACTTTGCGTTTAAACGCAAAAAGATAAATTATCAAATTTTCATTTTTTTTTTAAAGTCTCAATTTCCCGAGAAATGATCTGAATACTTCCTTCACATACCCGTTATCATCTGAGTAATCATCGGAGACAAGTCAGGATGAAGACGCTTCTTGTGAGAAGATGAAAATTTGAGACTGGCAGGCCGTAAACTTTAATTAATTCAAAATAAAAAAAAAAAAGAATTAAATGCAACAATTGTTTTCATATATATATAAAAAAAGAATTAAATGCAACAATTGTTTTCATATATTTTACATATTTCGAATATTTCATATACTTTTTGTACAATTTGGATAACATTTTGCCTTTTAAAAAGACAACGACTCATTTTTGGACCAGACATTTAAGAAGTGTTTTTGATTTGAACGTAATTGATATGTGTTTGGGTAAGACATGACTGGTAACCCAGTTTCAAAAGCAAACTTAAAAAGAAAATACCTCCGCTGATAATAAACGTATAAACCCCCTGTTCATTCGTCTCACTCAGGGTGTAAACAAATACCGTGGTTACAAAGTTGGGAGAGCTGACTTTTGTGAACACTTTTTTGGGTGGGGCGTAATGTGTGATCAAATTTTGAACATAGGGATTTGAATGGAAGAACCATGCTGATTGATTCAGACCAACAGGACTTTTGTTACCGAAATGAGCGATGTTTTTAATATCCCCATTGTGAATAAGTACAAGTACTTCTCAACATTTTACTTGCAATCTAGTGTCAGAATATAAATTGTAGGGATTTCATCAGCGATAGCAGAGATCATAGCTGAGATAGCAAGCTAATAGTAAAACGTTGTTGAAAAATATAACATTTTAAACTGGAGAATGCATCTAGTCATTTTAATGACATATCTCTCTCTCTCTCTCTCTCTCTCTCTCTCTCTCTCTCTCTCTCTCTCAGAAAATTAAATTACAGCATTGAAAAATATTCACATCTTTTGAATTTTATGTCCTTTATTTCTTAAGAAAACCATTGCTGTTTATCAGTCAGTGAACAATTCTAAGCATATCAACTCTTAAGATTTCTTGAACTGTGGCTCTTCCATCAATGAAACGTATACAATCACGTGCATATCAATAATACACTATTTCATCTATTAAATCCTACTTAAAATGACTATTTGTACAGGTATAAGTGTAAGCAATTAATTGCCTTTGTTTGTTAGTACGGGAATTAACGATGCAAATATTGCAGAAAAAAAAAATTACATTACCCGCTTACGCAGGTTATGTTTTTTTTTTTCTGCAACGGCTTCAA